AACACTACGGCTTCTTGTAATGGCAGTTGTTGGGATATTAATTCGAATATTTGGTAACTTTATCACGAGTGGGTGATCATATCGTAAACACATAGGAAAGTGACTATTCAAAAATGGCAATTTACATGTCAATTAAATGCTGGCATCTTGTTACGTTCTGTAATATTATATTCAACTCCCTGGAATGCAATTGAACAAGTAGGAAATAAATAATAAAAATTGAACAATTTTGAGTAACTACTACCATTGTACAAAACAAATTTCAATCAACAATATGGGATTAGTAAGATTAGTTGAACAAGCTAGTTATGTAGGAAACATTGAACAACACAGCTACAGATTAGTATGTCGATAATTTCATGAAGGTTCTAGTTTTGAATAGAACTGAAAAGAACGCCATTTTTTGTTGTATCACTATTCTCCGTCATGTGCGATATGATAGTTATTGTCTGAGGACGGGTAATACGTAGAGAAAAATTGAAAAAAAAAATCGTAAACTACTTCTGTATCCAATTAGGTGAACACGTGGTCTCTAAACCTTTGAATTCGCCACTGACATCTATTGCCCGCGACTTTTGTTTGGCGATCAGAATACGAACCGAACAGTTTGGCGAACTAGTGGTGCTACAGAATTGCATACTTTCCTATATTAGTTTTTTATTTCCTTTGGTCTCCCTTAGCTATTCTGACATGCCACACACTCATGCCAGCTGCCATCTATCTCCAGCTGTCATTATTTTGACCTTTTCTTTCTTTTTTGGTTTCCTAATAGTAGAACGGAATTATAAAAGATTATAAAAACAGTAAAAACTCGTCCTAAATGGCAATTTTCTTTGGAATTTTTGGAAACGTTTTAAAGGAAATGGCATTTAAGCGCTACTAAAATTTCAAAATTTGAAGCTCTTTTTTACAGACAATTTTTGAGTTTTTGAAAATCTTTATTAGAAGTCATTTGATGCACATCTACTCACAAATACAATAGTTCTTACAATTTGCTGGAAATGTGCATATTAGCGCCTTGAGAGACCATTCAAAAAAGTATCTTTGTGTAATCTTTGTATATATTTGTAATTTTTTTTAAACCGAAAGAATACCGCAAAATGGATTTTATGTCATCAAAAAGAGTTTAATTTGCACTATCCATACGAAAATTTGAAGAAAAAATTTGGAGCGTTTTCTAGAAAATGGCGTTTGAGCGTTTCTGAAAATGTGGAGTTTTGAAATAGTTTTTACAGAAAACGGTTGACTTTTTGAGAAACCTTAGACATTATTTAAAGCACATGTACTCGTAAATAGAATAGCGAGAATAAATTGCCGCTAATGTAAATATTTACGACGTGAGAGACAAGTCAAACAAATTCCTTTTTTTTATTAGTTTTTTTTTTAAATTGCACATGTTGCACGCAATATTCCGCGAAAACTACTATGTGTCATGGGTGTTTCAAGATGAGTAAAATCCAACAAAAGTTGTTCGCGCACTAAGAACTTCCAAACAGATGGTCGCCTGTTTTTTCGGAAAAACTGGACATGTCGCAACCGTACCACTAGAACAACGCAGAACAGTCAATTCTGAGTGGACAATGCGAGCTCTCACACATCGGCTCAAACAACTGCATTTTTGAGCACCCAAAACATCGATTTGATGAGTCATCTGCCGTATAGTCCTGACTTAACACTGAATAACTTCTTTTTATTCCCGTACGTAAAAAACAAACTGAGAGGTCAACCTTTTTCGACACCTGAAGAAGCGGTTGCTGCATTCAGAATACATGTTTTGGAGATACCTCAATCAGGCAAAAGTGCTTCGACAATTGGTTCAGACGCATGCAAAAGTGTATAGATCTTCATGGAGAATATTTTGAAAAACAATAAAGTGATTTTCGATGATTAATATTTGTTTTTGTTCTCTAATTCTGAAATATAAAAGACGAACCTCGTATTAACGTTTCATTATTTTACTTTCTCGCATAGTGTTTACGCAGAATATTTAAAAGCTACAATACGCTACGGATGTGTTTGTGAATACACTGAAAAACGTATTTACTGAATTCAATATTTTCATTTAAATTTTGAAGACAAACTGTATTTTTATACTTCCTTTCTTTACTGGATAAAGTGATATTTGAAGTATAAGATAAACAGAAATTAAAATATTACATTACATAACGATAACATAATATTACCCCAAAAAAATATGTGCTGTTTGAGTACCACTAGTTCTTCTTCGCCTTCGTTTCCTAGTCTTCTTCTTATGCATCTTCTTCTTCTTCGTCCTCTTATTTGTCTTCTTTTTGAAGACGAAGAAGAAGACGAAAAATAAAAGGTAGATGAAAACGAAGGAAAAGAAAATGAAGGTGAAGACGAAGTAGACTAAAAAGAAGAAAAAGACGAAAAGACGAAGGAAGAAACAAAGAAGCCAAGTAAGAAGAGGAAGAAAGAGTAGACGAAGAATCGTCTACTCTCTCTTCCTCGTCGACGAATTGGCATTTATATTCGTCTCTTTCGCATTCGTCTCCTTCGCCATCGTCTCCTTCGTCATCGTCTTCGTCTTCTTCGTCTTTGTCTTCGTGTTCTTCTTCTTCTTCGTCTTTTTCTTCTTCTTCGTCTTCTTTGTCTTTGTCTTCGTCTTCTTTGTCTTTGTCTTCTTCGTATTCGTATTTGTCTTCTTCGTATTCGTCTTTGTCTTCTTCGTATTCGTCTTCAACTTCGTCTTCGTTTTTGTTTTCTTAGTCTATTTGGTTTTTGTCATAGTCTTTTTCTTCCTCTTCTTTTTTTCGTATATTTCTTCTTCGTCTACTTCCTAGGTGTCTTCAAAAATGACAATGAAGAATAGAAGTATTCTCCGTCTTCTTCTTTTTCTCCATTCTCTTTTAGGTGTTCTTCGTCTTCTCCGTCATCTTTCTTTCCTCCTCATCTTCATCTTCGCTTGCTCTTCGTTTCCTCTTCTTGTTCGTTTTCGTCTGCATCTTCATCGTTCCCTTCTCCTCTTCATCTTTGGCCAAGTCTCTGTATTATTCGTCTTGTTCTTCATGTTCGTCCTGATATTCGTCTTCTTCCTCTTGTTTTCCTTACTTGGCTTCTTCTTTGTTTCTTTCTTCGTATTGTTCTCCTTCGTCTTTTCGCCTTTTTCTTCTTTTTCATCTACTTCGTCTTCTCCCTAATTTTTTCCCTTTGTTTTCATCTTCGTCTTTTTATTTTTCATCTTCGTTCTCGTTTTTTGGTCGCGTTCCTCTTTGTCTTCTTCCTCTTCTTATTCGTCTTCTCTTCCTCCTCCTTCAGTTTTGTCTGGTTCTTCGTCTTCCTCTTCTTCATTATCTTCTTCTGTCTTCTTCGACATCGTCTTCAAATCTTCATTATCTTCTTCTTTCATCATCTAATCCTTTTTCTTCACCCTCGTCATCGTTTTTATATTTGTCTTCTTTGTATTCGTCTCCTTCTATGCTTTTCCTTTTATCTTGCCCTTATTTACTTTCAACTTCTTCGTATTGATTCTTGATTTAGAGGGAAGAGTGTATGCAATAGTTTTTTATTTTGCTAAAGCGTTCGATGTAGTACCTATGACTTACTGAAACTCATCGATTCTCTTTTTCTTCTTCGCTGTCTCTTTCGTCTGCGTCTTCTTCTTCGTCTTCTTTTCCTTTTTCTTAGTCTTTGTCTATTTCGTCTTCTTCTTTGTCTCTGTCTCTTGTTCTTCGTCTTCTTCATGTTCGTCGTCTTCGTCTTCTTCTTGTTTGTCGTCTTCTTCTTCTTCTTCATTGACTTTCCTTCTGTCTTCTTTCGTCTCCTTCTTTCTTCTTACGTCTTCTTCGTCCCCACTGTCATGTTCTTGTTCATCTTCTACTTTATCATACTATCTTCAACTTACTTATTCGTTCTTCATTTTCGTCTCCGTTTTTCCTTTGACTTCGTCTTCTTCTACGTCCGATTCTTCTTCGTCTTCATCTTCTTTTTACCTTCGTCTTCTATTTTTCGTTTTCCTGGTCATTTTCGTATTTCTCTGCTTATTTTTTGTCTTCTTCGTCTTTTTCTTTTTCATCGCTTTGCCCCACGTCCTCTTCATTTTCGTATATTTTTCATACTTTTCATCTGTTTCTTCTGTTTTCTTCTTCGTTTCGTCTTATTATTCCACTTCTTCTTTGGCTTTTTCTTCGTATTCATCTTCTTAACGTTTTCGTTCTCTACATCTTCCGGATGTAAGACGGATAATGTAGGACGGACGGATAAGACAAAGCGAAATATTAAAGAAGCATTATAAAACGACGAAAGAAGAACACTCTCACAAAGAAAACGAAGAAGACGAACACAAAGAAGAGGAAGAAGAAAACAAACACAAAGTCGAAGAAAAAGATGACGAAGATGTAGAAGAAAAGGTAGAAGTTGAAGAACGAACAGGGAGTTGACAAAAAACGAGAACACGCAGGCGAAGTAGACGTAAAAGATGAAGAAGAAAAAAGAACAAGTAGAAGACGATGAAGACAAAGAAAAACATGAAGAAGAGAAAGAAGATTAAAGTAGTCGAAAAAAAGAAAAATAAGAAACAAAAGCGAAGATATAGATGATGAAAAAGAAGACGACGCGGACGAAGAACATGATGAATACGACGAAGACTGAGAAGATGAATACGAATACGAAGAAAAATAAGAATACGAAGAAGAAGAATGTTGAGGAGAAGAAGAAGAACAGAAAGATGAAAAAACAAAATGAGGAAGAAGAAGATGTACAAGATACGAAAATAATATTGAATACGGGAAAGACGTAAATGAAGAAGACAAAGGGGAAAAAGAAGAAGAAGGGCAAAAAGAAGACCAAGAAAAAGACGATAAAGAACACGAAAAAGAAGAAAACGAATAAAAGGAAGATTAAAGAATACAAGAATGAAGAAAATGAAGTAGAAGAGGAAGAAGAAAAAAAGTATGTTGAGGACAAAGAAGAAGACCAATTAGACGAGAACAAAGACGATTGAGGAGGCGAAGAAGAACGAGAAGGAGAAAAATAAGAAGATGAAGACTAAGATGAACACAAAGACGAAGAATACGATGATGACAACGAAGAAGATGGCCCTGAAGAAGACGAAGATGAAGACGACGACGACAAAGTGGAAGAAGAAGAATTATGCAATTGAGAGTGGACAGGATGGGGACAGTTATCTCTGGCGCCCCATGTTATGTCTATGTTTGGAACTATACGTGCAATATCACTTGAGAAAATTAAAGGTATGAAAAGAGCATCGGCCAAGACAACTGACTGCATTTAAAGTAGGAAAAACGTTTAATGTTTTGTTTTAGAAAAAATCAAAATATTGTAGAATATGTTTACTTAATCCAAAAGAACGAGATTTAATAATTATCAAAAATTTGTAAAATTAGTAACGATGTGCATATACTAGAGTAAATTTTGTATGTTAGAGGTTTGTAAATTCATAATATTCATGAGTCATTCCACAACAAATTGTACAGCTTCAAGGAAAATTCAATATCTATAATTTCTTTCAATTCGATTCAATGGAGTGGCTAGCTTTAGTTGTTTTTTTATTAAAGGTTTGGACAACATACTTACATTTTCTCAGGGTACTGTCCTTCTCGTGGGCTAGAAAATACCGCTCTTACGAGTATTCGGATGGTGATGATTCAATGTTGTTAGGAAATATTCTAGAACTAATCTTACTCAAAATTAAACAAATTGTAATTGGTTACTGAATTTTCAGCGACATTAAGTGTGAGCTGCTAAATGAATTTATTTCAATTTTTCTGTTTTAAACTTTAACAATTTCTCATTTAAATGTTTCTTATCATTATACATATTTTATGGCCATCGAATATCTATTAACACAAAATAATGATTATTTTTCTAACTTAATACTACCTTACAATTAAATATATCTTGACCTTGCTAAAATCGGTTGTTAAAGTATTTTTGCCACTTATTTTCTAAACTTCCCTTTGCAAAGATTATTGGCGAAGATACTCTTGGCGTTGGAGACGAAATCAGCGACTGTTCCATAATACCATACCGAAGCACTTCTTATTTCCACGCTGAATTTCACTTTTGAGTTTTACTATTATTCGCGACCTGAATATACCACGAATGTTACTGTTTTCTCACTAATAAATTATATTTCATTTACTTCCCTTTTCTCGTATACATGTGAACCACATGTCCATTTTCTTTCTCATACGAACCAATTATAAAATAATTTTACTCATCGCCCTGATCGCCATCAGTCCTCACTCTCCAAAATCCGGCATAGTTCTATATTCAAAAATGTTCATTTTCATCCACGATCTGTCCTGACCAGTTCACTTGTTTGATTGTTATTACAGTTCATCGATGCGCTCTTGTCGCACCGCAACCATGCATTTAGCGTCTCTTGTCTCCTATCAACAATGTCTCACATTATTTATAAGGTCGGTTTTCGAAAAATTCTTAAATTTGGAAAATTTATTTTATTCATATAATATTTGCATTTTCTAACACCTTATTCAAAGTCAAAGACGCATTTTAATTTGTGACATAGCGCAATTTCTTATATTTCGCTTGTTATTCAACATTAATGTTTTGTTTTACGGATCCAAAAATCCCATAAGGTATTTTGCCTTGCCTCAGTATACGAGACTCAAAAAATGGAATAATTTAAGCAAATATTGAAAAATGAGAAAAAAATCAATGTTACGTACCATTAAATAATACCCCCACATCGCTGCGTTACTGCGCCTCAAACTCCCCCCCCCCTTTAGTTACGTAATTTATGAACAGCCCCTTAATGACATCTTGAAATAAGATCACGTACTATTAATCGAACATATGAGTAGTTTTCGCAAAATTTTGCGCGAAATAAAGGTTGAAAAAAAAACTGCTCCAAATTATTTGATTCATTTTTGTTCTAGGATAGCGTAGAGGAGGCTTATGAGAATTGTGAAGGTTCTAATTTTTTTGGACATTTTCCTACAATTACAATATTGAAAAATTGTCGTAATGGTCAGACTGCGTGCCTTCCAGAATGTTAATATTTTGTTTGCAGTTTTCAAAAATACAAAGGGTTCGTCAAAATGTTCTCTGAGCCATTTTAAGCACCTTTTTCTCTATACAATAAAAAAATTAAAAAACAAAATTGGAGGCAGTTTTGGGATAATTCTCAAATAAATTGCCTCCTCTTCAAGCTGGAATTATGCGAAAACTACTTGTTTTCTTTAATGTACGTGATCTAAGTTGTTAGGACAGACTTAATTCAGGGAACAATTCTATCATCTTTATTGAATTTTTGCGGCGGTAATTCTTTGAAATTTTCGAGTTTGTTGAAAATGATACCTGCGCCATTATTAAACGTCTAATGGTCGATTCGAAGAAAAAAAGTAAGAAAATTGTTGAGTCGCTGTCGAAAAAAATAATTATATAAAAATTACATACTTTTGAATCAAAATTACCTAAGAACTATTTACATTTTCGAAACACTTTACATGATCCTATTTAAAGACCTGTTTTTGAAAAGCATTTATTATCGTTTGCTCTTCGTTTTCGACATTATGTATGTATTCGTCTTTCGTCTCGCCTTTTGTTATTTACCTTTCATAATTACAACTGTCTTCTTCATTGGACTTATTCGTCTTTCTCGCCTTTCAGGGGAGGGAGTACATTGAGGTGAAAGTTATGACAATTATTAGTACATTGTTGTCGTTGGTTTTTGCTTTCTCGTGTATGTAGTTTAGAGAAAGTGTCGATATGCTGAAGACAAAAGTGTCGATTTTTCGTATGAAAATTATTTCGAAAATTTTGAATTTTTTCTGTTTGCACCATTGTGAGTCGACTTGATTTATCTTGCTTGCTTTCCCGCCATGCACGGAGAACTATTCATCGATTTAATTACAATGGCACTTGAAATCTTGAGCTTGAACGGCACTATAGAGCTGTGCAGAACACGTGACGTTTAGTAGTTCGGAGGTTAGCATCATTGCCTCTGGGTGGCTAGCGGCAAGCGGCAGGGGATGGGTTTTATTTCATGGTGGCATAGAGCACAATTGTATCTCTCCTCTATGGCCTGTGAGGGCGTCTTCACGATGGAATATCTCACGGCATCTCGCGTCATTCCCGGTCGTGCCGCTAGATGCCGCATGATCACGACCGTATCGAGCAAGTTGACTGGATAAGATTATATATATAGTAGATATTAGCAACTCATATAATATTATATATATATATATATATATTGGTATAATTTGAAGCGGTAAACTCCAACACCATGTGACCGATCTCCATGAAAGTTGGCACATCTATGTGTTTTTTCGCCGAAAAGAGAGCAAGACCGCCCCGTAAGAGAGCAAGAAAGAGACAGAGTGACAGAAAGAGAGACAGTCAAAGAAAGACGGAGTCAGGGAGACAGACAGAGCCGGACCGAGGCAGACAAAGACAGAGGTAGACATAGGCAGACATGCAGAAAGAGACAGGCGCATAGAGATAATCAGATAAAGATATATGGGCAGAGAGAGACAGAAATATACAGAGATATAGCAGAGACAGACGCAGAGGCAGATATAGACAGAGACCGGCAGAGGCAAGCATAGAGGCAGAGAGAGACGCAGAGCGAAATTAAGACAGACGGAGATATTGACGGAGACAGAGAGGTACAGAGAGCGACAAATAGAGACAGATACACAGAGATAGAGACAGACAGAAAGAGAAACAGTCGGACAGGGACAGAGAGAGAGAGAGAGAGAAAAACAGAGAGAGAAAGAGACGAAGAGGCGGAGGAGAGTGACGCGCGTAATAGAGGGACAGAGAGAGACAGAGACACGCAGGGAGAGACAGAGGGACAAAGAGATAGAAAGACATAGATGCAGAGAGAGGGAGAGAGAGAGAGGGAGAGAGGCAGACATACGCGGACAGAGACACAGAGGCAAAGACAGAAGAGAGGGGGAGAGGGAGAGACAGACAGAGAGAGACAAGGAGACGTTTTCTTTTTCACAATGAATATGAAAAACGGGCAACACTGGGTATTTTGCTAGTATAATATATGGAAAGAATAACTTCTACGCTAATAGCACAGAGGCACGTCCTCGACCTCGTCCTCTAACACTCCCTCAAATTACGCTAAGCGCTCTGACAGAAATGAATGAAACTTACCGAAAGGCGATTTTTATGGCGGTTTGACTGACGGTTTTATAAACCAAAGATATGTCATTACTAATACCTGAATTATACTCAATTTGCTTCCCGCAAACCTCTTGCATTGCCTCTTCCGCACGGAATACTTACGCACATGAGGTGTGGCCCCTTTCTTGCTACATTTCCCCTCGAAACCATCACACAACTTTCGGTGGACCAACCTCATAGGTCACTTACACACAGCACACTTAAATCCTGCAGCAATCAAATTACGTTCTTGCGCCCATTCAATGACAACCCTTTGGCGCAACGCAAAAAAAAAACCAACAACTTTTACTCTTACCATCGTAGCACAGACACTCGAAAACACAAATCACAAAGAATCCGAAGAACGCAAGAAATTTAACTGTACGAGAGCAACCGATGACAACGTAGTTAAACACTTCAACAGTTACCTAACACAAAATCACGATTTACGGGCCACCACACACCATCTCGTAATGAAGTTTCGACAAAATATTAGGGTGAAATTTCCCCCACCCCTAACTTCTCACGTCACGTTCGTGACCAGTTACGAACCTTTAAAATTATTTCAGAAGTGTATTTTTTTTAACAATTTATTTAAATCACCTACGCTTTGGTTTTTGTATGTATGTACTGAGTTTCGCATATTCCTCCCCACCGAAAGGTGCCCCTCATAACACCCTTCGTCTCCTCCACCGTGGATTTCCCTCTCGGAACGGCGCGAACTGCCGGTTTAAACGACTTCCTTAAGTTGTACCGTATACTAGACTTCAGCCATGTTATTTAGTAATATATCCATTCCTTGCTAATCCACATATTTAAGATTTCTCATTTTTAAGTATATATATATATATATTCATTATTATTTGCATTTCTAGAATATGTATGATCTTGTTAGTTTATGATAAAATGAATTCAATTAATTTCTTTAGGTGTACGAGTTACATTTCTATGAATATGTGTATCAAGTTCTAAAATTTGAAGAGGACTGGCAAGATAATATCAAATTTGACTTAAATACTAGAGGATAGTATTGTACCAACACCGTATCCTACATACCAGGTCACTTGTCATCTCAAAGAACATTCCAAGGAGATAAGATTTTTAAGAGTGCCAGTGAAGAATTTTTTTCATTTGGAAGTTGCAATTGCTGCTAGTGTGAATGATGAAATGTATTACAGACAAATATATTATTTCAGTAGCATATGTATTGAATAATACTTGCTTTGTTTAGAAACTAGCTTGACATGCATGTAGAAATTTGTGAAATAAATAATCAAACTCATTTGGAATGTGTGAACGATTAAAGAATATTGTTTTGGAATATGTAATAAGTGAATCTAGTGTAATGAATAGTATACTCCAATAATCTAGTTTATTTTTAAAATTTAAAAATTTTAAGTCCATTTTCTAATGTAGGCAAAAAATGTTTTCACATACTTCAGTGCTCCAAGACATTAATGTTGAAGATAATTTTTGAATTAAACAAAGCCAATGTGAATTATCTGACAATTGCACCTATATCATTATTATTTGTAGTTATATTAAAACTCTAATCCAGTTTTATTGACTGTACTACTAAAATTACTAAGTCACCAGAAACAATTCAGTCTCATTCTGTTTATTTGGAGGTTGCAGTGAGAGTAGTTTGTGAAGAAGGTATAAATATGCCCGGCCATAATGTGCTCAGATGTGCAACTCTAGTATTCCAGTCGGATTACAAGAGCAAATCAAAAATATCACACTGTAGCCTAATCACAAGAAAATATGGCAAAGTTATTTAATTTAAAGTAAAGATTTACACAAAACTAAAATACAATGATCTGCCTAAAAATTTAAAGAAAGAACCGCCCAAATTCCAAAAACCAGTTATAACACAGTTATACTGTGTTATAACTTCCACAATTTTTCATTTAAAAGAAAAAAATTTGTTGTGAGGGACGCAAGTGCCCTCTTTAAAAAGCTTCTGGTGGTAAATCAATTCATGCTTTTGGCAACTGCATTGTCATAAAAACAAATGAGTTTTCTATTATTTTTTTTAATTCAAAGCTTGCCATGCGCTTTATTATTATTATTATTATTATTATTTGCAATGTAACTATTTACAGGAAAGTATGAAAAATATACAACAAAACAAAATGCAATACTTGAGACTGGATGGTTTTTTCAAGTGATACTTTCTCACAAAAAATTCTGATTTTATTGTAAAATGCAGATTTTTCTGTTGTTTTTGTTGTTGTTGTTGTTTTTTTTTTTTTTAATTCTTCATTTGAATCATTTATTAGTCATTGGCATGTTTTTTGTTGTTTTTATATCTTTCAATTGTATATAATTCCATTTAACTTTCTTCAAAAGATTTAAACTTTCTGTTGAAAAAAGTTTTTCTTCTGTTTCTTCATATACAGTATTATTATTATTAGCCAACTTATCCCATTAAGAGCAAGGGCTTCCTGCCTTTTGCAGGGAATGCTGAATGAAGTGATGATGAGAGGTGAAAGGACTAGGATGATGGTGGGAGGTCATCGTGGCATTTTTTAACCATACCAGTATTTGCCTTATGACCGAGGGAAAACATGGCTGGCCGTAAAACTGAATCTGGTCTTCTGGATTGCGAAGTCAGTGTGATACTACGCAATAAAAATATACAATATCTCCTTATACTCATCACATCAGGAAGAATCTTTAATAAAAGTTCATATTTGTTTCCAATATAATAAAGTATAGAAAATGATTGCATTATGTCATTTAAGATTTTTTAGTCATTTTTTGTTACTTTTAACAAATTCTTGAACTGTTATTGCTTCATTTACGAGTAGCCATAATTAATTAAATGTTTATGATGAAAATAAATATTCAACATTGAAACAAAACAATAAATAAAATCATGTATGAACTATGACAATTTAATTTTATGAGAAATGTTTTGTAGTGTAGTGTTGAAATGTTTTGATATCACTTATCCATACATATTTAATAAATTCATTCCTATAATATTTATATAAGAATTTATTTTCATATTTTAAAATCTGTAATTTCACTTATAAATTGTGCAGGAGCTAAAAATGACCCTCCATTTTACCTGTGACACCATACTGATGGTAATATCTCTTTAAGAAAAATTCAGTAAATGTTCAGAAGTAGGCAAAAAGTGCATTTCTCTTGTAATTTATGAAAAAACACTGGTGGCAAATTGCAATAAGACAAAAGCCACAGAGTAATTTTTCATGATATTTTGATGCTTAAAATTGCTGAAATGGAAAATTTTTGAAAAGTGACTCATAACATTTTGCCATCTAAGCACAGAATTATTAGAACATGTTCCAGAACATTCATTTGCAGATAAACATTATATAAATATTTCCAATGTTTTTCAACATTTTTTAAAGCCTTATTTTTCAATAATTAAATTTAACTCTTTTTATAAACAAGTAAACAATCATTCATTAGAAATTGAGTAAAGTAATTGCATTTCTATAAATTTTTACATTTTTAATTTAATTCTTATTTTAGTTTTGTGTAATGGATTTCAACCTATAAGAAAAACATACACAATTGTTTATGAACATGTCTATAAATTAAGATTTGCACAAACAAAATTACCAATAAAATTTATCTACAGCAGGCCTGATTCTGTTTAAGCAGTCAAGTGACACAATAATAATATTCCAAGAGTTCCTGCATTCCTATGTCTTTCTTTATCACTGTCACAATGGTTTGTATTTCAGAGCAGTCTGAGAATCTTCCATGACTCTTTTAATAAAATCCTACCTTTTCTACAGATTCTTTTAACTTTCTTTGTTGCCTTTGTAATTGTTTCTCTATGGATACAATCCTCAACAAATCCAAAGCGATGGGGTTCTAAGGGTAAGATCTAAGATTAGTGAAAATTTTCATTAAGATATAAATAATTGAACAAGTATCAGCATACTAATATTAGGCAACCATAGTGGACGAAACTTCAATACTTGATATACACATTTTTTAAAATACAATAGAATAAATGGAGTAATCAAAATATTTTGATCACTTTGCCTATTAATGAAATTAATAACTGTAATTTTTATTTTAATTCTCAAATGTTCAATTTTTGCACTTTTTCAAATGTTTCTATCAAAATAATTTGAGCTTTAGACAAAGTGACATATTGGCAATATCATTTGTTTATCTGAAGTTCCATTGTTGTAGCCATAATCAGGCAACAATAATTTTAAGTGGCTTGGGGTAGTCATTTGTGAAGGATTTAGCTTTTCCTTTGTTACTTCCTGTTTCCTATTACGGATATGGAGACATTTGTCTAACAATTACATATTTTCCCCAAGCTATTCTTCATTTACATATTTGTTTCATATACTATTTATGAATTATTATAATATACTACCAAAAAATTATTTAATGGTCTAGAGATCCCAATTCAAATAATGAGAGATTGTAGATTTTCCACCACAATAAATATCCTTCCTGTAGAAGTAAGGTTAAGTCTCAACAATTGTAAGGAAGTTTCCTTATTTTATTAATTGTATTCCCACATACAATTTGATTACCTTTTATACTTTATTATAAAATTATATATTAATTATAATTTATCAATTACATCTTCTTGATTAACGTTTTCAACCATTTCTGATGCATAATATTATTTCGTGACAATTTATGACATACCATCTTCCAAGTAGTTGTGTAACCTCGAACATAAAATGTTCCCATTTTCTACAAATAATACAACTCTACAATAAATCACAAGAAAGGTAAATAAAATATTCACTCGCGCACAACTACTTGCAAAACGTGCGCAAAAATGCAACAGCAGCTCTATCTGCACCATCTGCACTAGGAGAGTGACCGAGGAAACAAAACTTTGTCCCCCGCATATATACTCTCTGATATACTCTTTGGTCCCCCGCTATTTAGCATTGAGTGAACTGGCCCTAGATAGGATGAACAGCTGATTTATGTCAAGTGATTGGTAAATAATAATATACAAATAAATTGAAGTCATAAACAAATTAAGTCAAACTCCTTATACACTCTGTGATTGGAGTGTATATCCAGTGTATATCGTAACAGTTGACGGTCTTGCTGCGAATTATTGCGTGCGAAGTAATTGTCAGTGCCCGGTCAATGGAGTGTCCAGAATGTGAATAATAATTTATTCACATTCACTCCCGTTGATAATTTCCAGTGGAACGGTTTCGTGTGTTGTTTTCTCCTTATTTTTTACTTGATAATGGGCGAAGGTTCATTTCACTTCAACTTATTTGGAAAATGTTTGTACTTTTCATTCTGTTTTTACTCACAGATGGTAAAAATTATAATGAAATGAAATAATCGCTTAATTTGTGTTTCAGAACCACAATTTTAAACATTGAAGTTACCTCAACCAAAGGGCAATGGCTTCTGATGACAGAAATTTTCGATCTTCATACTATGAGAAAGTTGGTTTCAGAAGTGTAGAAGAGAAAAAATCCCTAGAAATTCTATTGAAGGATAAACCAATCGATGTCGGAAAAATTAGACAGTTCTGTTTAAGATTTACTGTTCCAGGCTTGTACAGAAATCTTGTCTGGAAATTGTTACTTCGTGTTGTTCCTATTCATGTTGACAGTCATCCATTTGTAATGAAGCAGAGAGAACAGCAATATAAAGACCTTTTGCATGGGTTGAAAACCATGCGCATTGTAAATAATCAAACATCTAAACCACAGCTTTATATTCTCATGTGGCTCTTGGAAACGGGGAAATTGAAATTTGATTTTGTTGGACAGTTAGATAGTGAGTTACATAACAATCTTGCTGCCATTTCTCATACTTTATCTAGTATATTTGAAAGTGACGTAGATGCATATTGGATTTCAAAGGGCTTTTTTGAATGTGTTGTTAAATTTTTCAATGATATACCACATTTAATTGCGTTGACAAAAACTCAATTAGAAAAGGAAGATCAAGATCTTAATGAACATTTAGTGGAAATTGGTGCAATTAGTGCAATTCCATTCCATAATTGGTTGTGTTGTTGCTTTGCGGGAATTATAAGTGAATCATCTCTAGAGAAAGTATGGGATAAGTTAATTGGAGGATCGTGCAAGGTGCTAATTTTTGTTGCTGTTGTTCTCTTAATAACACTTCGACGTCTACTATTGAAATGTACAACAGTTGATAGTGTTCTAGATTGTTTGGGTAACATCTCAGAAGAAGTGTCAGAAGTTATAGTTAATCAAGGCATTGAAATGTGGCAGCAATCTGGCACCTCATTCAGCACAGGCCTAACACAGAGGCATTAAGTCTTAATGACAAAAAAATTGTAAAAAGAGCACAAGCTCTTTCAGAACTGTCAAACAAAATTTTATATTAAATGTAAAATTCTATATTGTATGCTTACAAAGTAAATTTTTTTTAAAGGTAGTAGAAATGCTGTCATTTTTTTCTTTGTGAATCATTTACTGGAAGCAGTATTATTTTTTAAAAGTATTTGAAAATATGTCAAGGAACTTAGCCATACACTTGGGCCAGCATAAGTAGAAAATAATTTAATTTTCACGTTTGATTGAGGAAGACGTAATTAACATGTTAACCTAATGTTTCTGTTCATACAAAAGTGGTGTAAAAATAATGATTGCAAACCCTCTTTGTCTTCCCAAAATTTCTGAAATGTGTACACAATTATGTTCAGAGTATTGAACTAAACAAAAACATTAAATGGAGAAAAATTAGTAATAATGACTATTTGCATTTCATTTTAGGAAATAGCCTATATCAATTATAAAATTTGTCAGTTTGCACATTAACTGTATTAATAAATCATATAAAAACCCGGCATCTAAATCTTTGCAAGTAGTGCATATTACTAAACAAAAAGTTAGGCTATACATTAATGACCACTATTACAAATGTCACTCTTTGGCCCTCGTAAGCCTAAAAATCTAATCTCAATTTTTTTTTCTTTCGTACTTGTATTAGTACGTTGGATATTATTCCTAAGCAAGAGCCCATATCCTATTTAGAAATAGTTGAAAATCACTAAAGAAATAAAGACCTTTTTTTTCATGTATGCTTTTATCCAAAGGTTTGTGTTTTTGAGTATTGCCTTTTATGTGTAGAGGATTAGTATTTGCAGGTTCTGAAAATAATGTCCCCCCCCCCCCTCTCCAACACTAATTGGGATTTCTCCATTGTATTATTACGGCTGAGAGCTTTAGATTCATAATGGATTCATAATTAGATTCAGTCAGAGTCATGTGTTCCTGTTGTTTATATATAGGTTTCTAATTTCTTCACAACATATATTCTGTACTCCTGTCCACTCAACAAACCTAATTGGTTCTATCTATAAATAGGGTTTTAAGTTTTATGAAGCCAAATGCAATAAAATATCATTTCTAGAAAACTGGAAGCAATAACAAATCTGACTTGTGTCACTGAGTTATCAGACACCTAATTTATTCATTTCAAATGAAAGTGATTTATTTGTTCTTTCTGTGACATACTAACTCCCTTAGTCACAATCCATCCTTATTTTGCCCAATTTCACATTCCTTTCTAAAACCAGCTCATAAACATCAAGATTCTTGAATATAATTTAATTTTATTCTTTCACTGCAGTCATACAGATTTAGTGTAGATATTTACATTGAGTGTGTATATTTATGTAAATATGACAGTACTCATTGCCGCTACTCACTTGAGAACAAAATGTTCTCCCAACAGTTCCCAATGTCTCAGTATTCATCCTCTTATACAAAAGAGGTTTTGGTTAGAAAATAGTAAGAATAACAGCAATAAAGTTGGGGTCACCAGTCACAACAAAACTTAACAAGAAATAGAACGGTCAGCTTACTCCATAAATCTATGCAAGTCAAAATTGAATAATAAATCCAAGTACAGAAAATGTTTGACAATTTTGTACAAGTTTTAAGTAATAATTCCAAATGACATACTAGAACTAGTGCCTTTAACAACTTACAATGAATAACAGCACTCTATGGGATTGATAACAATGTATTGTCATTTTAAAGTAGTATGTATACACAGTAATAGAGTACACAGGAACAGGAAAGATATAATATTTATGTACAGTGAGATTGCAACAGTTAACACTTGGCCTGAGAAGCTAGCCTTGGGACTGCTGTTGCACAAAAAGTAAGTCGCTGAGCCAAAAATTGGCTGAATCTCATACTGACTGTCCATTGACAGTGTACACTTAATGCCGAATTGCCACTCAATGCATTAAGAATACTCTATTAGGAATAGCCATTTAAAACACCTCCCAACACAACCCCCACTTGCATTGTTAACCTAAGGAATTATATACAAACTTTACATAAGATTTAATAGTTTACACCAATAACAAAACTTCTAAAATACTGTGAAGTGCTTAAAAATAAATCTATTTAAAATACAACAAAACAGTTTCATGTACTATAAATTAAATGTAAAAGTTCTTTTTAGCAAAAAGTGCTATAATTATCTTAGGTACATATAACTCAATAACAACAACAAATATCTCCTCCAACTTCAGGATACGGTACTTGCATCATCTATTCTTCACAATAAAACAATTACTGGTGCAATATACAACTTTGGTTTTGAATTCACAACAAGCAACACTCACGGAATGTATACTTGCAAAAGAAGAAGAAAATGTATACTTGCAAATGAAGAAAATGCCAACCATGGAATAACTTACTTTTTCAAGTAGTTCTTAAATAATTGATATAGTTTACTTCATTCTTTTAATATCAAGAGTAAAATGTCAACAAATGAAAAAATCACATTAAGGTTTCCATAATTCATAATCACATTCCAGGTTGGTTGGTATAGATCACATTTCTTGTCAGATTATTTCAGGCGTTAACAAGCGCAATTACCTAACACTATGTTGTGTTGACACGTTTCCTTACGAAAGTCACTTTATTAATTTATCAACACAAAAAACATGAAGTACATTTGTTCACATAGATTGCAACCTAACAAGAAATGCGTATTAATTCATCTCACCAACATTGCTCTGCTGAAGCCACACACACAATTTTAAACACATCGCATCACATAAGGACAAAACACCTACGACACAACACAGAAGACAACAGACTAGACCTTTATAGACTGTCACTGTTCACTAGATTCTCCTCTCTGTTATTAAGATGAAAGAATATTGGATAAAAAGTCATTATATATATAATATAGTACAACAACATCAACAATAACAACAACGTAGTATATATGTATATATTCACAGCACAATAACGGAGGCCGAAGTGCCTCTGGGTGATTGTGACTCAGTCTGGAGCATGGCACCCCATGGCTACAGCTATGTGACTAGGCAAACACTACTTTAACAGCTATAAGCAATGCAAGACCCTCTATTACACATTTCCTTCAACAGTAACAAAGTAACCTCATGCTGCAGCAGAAGCTCCCAATAAAATAACCTATTCAAAATATATGTGTATGTATACCCTTTTTTAATACATTATCAAGAACAACAGCATGGATCATACAGAGGCTTACTTGTCTCTTCATCTCTACTGTGCATCTAGCAAATAACTCTATAAATTTTGTAAATGACAAATCATAAGACACATGGCCAGGGTTGGGAAGGCTCATACTAAAAATAAACATTTGGCAGCAGAAGGCAAAGGTACCAGAGTAAAAAAACTCATGATCTTGACTGTTCTTCTCAAAGAACCAAATGAAAAAGTAATTAAAAATTAAGAACCAAATATCAAAAACGAGCAGTACAGATTTATGTACTACTTAATACTTGCTCTCCATCTTTCGCACACATGACAAAGCAGATAGTGATGGTTTTTTGTGCAGCATACAATGATTACGTCCCATGCTGAATTACAAATCAGTTAAACAACATTTTGTTCGGAAGAGTGTTCAGTACAAAGTATGCACTGCGGCCTCTCTGTCAGGGAGTTGACGCACTTTCATGGATCCATCAGCACCACAGGAAAACATTCTATGAGCGCCATCCACGTGCAACTGGGTGACTCCTTGGCCAATGTTTTTGAAGAACGATGAACGAGCATGTTCTCCAGGGAAGGAATACAGGGCACCATGAACAGCAAGAGCCCACACCTGCACAGGGAAACAATGTAGATGACTCCTCAAGAGTATTCAAATGGAGAATTCTATAATTAGCACATTAACACTGTAACTCAGTTTTTCTGTTGGAGGTGGATATAAAAGTGAAAGAAGATTCAACCAGTTAAATAAATCAGGCTGTTAAATGCTATTTCTTTTAACTTAAGGTTTTAATCATCAACTCCACTATGATAAACTCTATATTAATGTTGATAAATTGAAAATTTATTTTGGAAACATTTTTGCATTCCCATACAATAATGGGATTTAAATGTTATTTAAAATTTGTGTAAGCTTCTCTTCACAGGTCTGTAAAGATCTTCACTCTTCTTGGTACCTTTTTGCAATTTTCTCCATTCCATATTTTAGTACAAATCTTTCTATGAAAACTGTTGAGTGGCACGGGTAGTACTTGTTTCTTTCTCTCAAAACATCATCCACTGACCAACCACAAGATCAGGACTTACCTGGACAAATTTACTCTCCTCAAATTTTAAAATAAACTGTCCACCACTTGCCTATCTGATGGGAATTTTGTTCAGTTATCTAGAATTTTATAAATCTTTAAAACCGATGTCCTTGATTCCAAAAACCTACATATGTTAGGAAAAAAAGACAGAAACACAAGTGTAATGATTCAAAGCCAATAACAAATAGCTATGCAGACTGCTCATACCCCAAAGTGTGTTAAAGCCAAACACATCTGAATATGTTTTTCCGTTAAGTTTGCATGCCATTTGACAAGGTAAGAATGATTTGATCTCAATCAAATTTTATGTATACATATTTTAAAACTATTCTAACAAAACTGGGAGGCAAGCTTTTGAAGATATTGAACCCAAAAAATAAAAGACATCCTAGTGTACATTTAATTCATTTTAATGTCTTCAGTTAGCCCTCTTCTCAGTTGCAAGGTGTGTAATTAAAAGCTTCTTGGGTTAGAAGAAATATGTGATAACTAAATGGTACAACACACTCACTTTGATATCTCCATCAGCAGAACCAGTGACAAAGAATTCCTCAGCAGGGTCCAGAGCCAAGCACTTTACAGCAGAGTCATGAGCCTGGAAGCGATGACGCAAAACACGCTGACGCACATCCACAATACAAACATCACCACGCTTTCCTGCAGAGATGAGAAGCTGATGCTGAGGGGCATACACCAAAGCAGATGCTCCTTGTTCATGGCATGAGAATGCTGCAAACAATATGAATGATATTCTCAGTTTAAGATGAATATTTTGTTCTATAATTTAGAAAAAGCATTTTACACTTTCAACATAAAACCTACAGGTTTTTTCATTGAAAATAGTCTAAAACTCAAATAAAAACAGGAGAACTGAAAAATGAGTAAGTGACACTAATTCACTCTCTACTTCTTTAGATTCAACCTTTTTGGGTCATATTTTAAACAAATGTCATTTCATGCGTGACTTTTGGACTGATTCAAAACAGATATTCTGATAATAGAGGGGTAGACAAAGATGTATTAACAAATGTATTTTATTCAGAATTGCTGGTGGATAGACACGAAATTAAAATGATAATCATTCTGATTAAAATTATACAAGGAATTGTTGATTTCCCATTTCATTTTTCTCAGACATCTTTCTCTGACCTGCAATATTATACTGTACGCAATCTAACATGCCCATCTACTATCCGCTGCTACAGCAAAACTCTTATATTTACGTCATCTATTGACACTTTGACCTGCAGAGTTGATGACTTGGCTGCTTTTGATCTGGATATATTTTTAGGCACTCAAATGCAATACACACATGCAACTTATATGAAAATTTATAAGTATATGAAAACAGCACAATTATAATCAATTTTTGTCATAATTTAGTAATCCTTTAAAGGGTTTATACCCACTGGATTTAAGTACATTTATATTTAAATTGAAATCCCCCCCAAAAAATCTTGCTAAACAAAAAGCTTTATTTTGTTACAGCAGAAAAACAATTATCTTGTAATATTACTCAAATCTGAAAGGAGTTACAAGTTCCAGATTCATTTGAGCAGCCTTAAGCATGATGAATCTATGAAGCTTCAATACTGAACATGTTGAACTTGTAATCAAAATAATATGAAAATAAACTAAAAGGAAACTGTTAATATCTGTTTTACAGCAACACAATTAGGTCCAAGAGTGTTAAAACATTTTAGTTTAAAAATTATTAAAATTTCTGTTCATTCGAAATGTGCATTTGCTTGCCATTGTCTCCCACATTACCAGCAAAATGGAGATGAAAGGGTTTTCAGTTCACAACTTTAACATATGAACATTAAACAATGTGAATTTCAAGAACATTATGGTAAAGAATGTTAAAGAACTGAGAGGAACAGGTCGAAAATCTGGTGACACAGAAGGAAATGTCCTAAGGTGGGGTTAGGTGAAAGACTAATGCAAATTGAATGTGAAAAACTTTCAGAAGGGCCTAACAGAGGATGATGCAGTATGGGAGGAGAGCCACAATGGAAGAAACTTGATAAATGTGAAGATGAAGAGGGTTGTGACCAAAATCATGATAATGATGGGTTTAAAATTGGTTATTCTTATTATTGAAATTACCCTGCCCCATTTAATGTTAACACTCATTTCAAGTAAAAAGAAAGTTAGCTTTCAGGAATGTACTAAATAAAGGGTTCACTTTCTGCTGTAATACTGTATTTTATTTACAGATACTATTCCACAAGGGCCCTACACACATATGCTTAGTCAGCTAATACAGTACTTCCTCCAAAAGCCTTCAACTGTAATCTAGATTCATTATTACTATACCCAAGGAGAAAAGAGGACTGATCACACAAACAAATATAAGATTAAACAAATTGAGTGTCAGTAATTTCTTTGATATGAAAATCGTTATTTAGCAAGGAAAAAATATAAAAGTATATTATACCCTGCACAAGGGCTTTCTTCTGAGGCAACAGTGAATCCCAAATGGCCAAGTTTCGGCTTTCAGAACTATGACCAGCAGATGCAATCAAACTACACGATCCCAAGAACACAAAGTCACTTGTCAACTTGTTGTGGCACTGGTACGTCTGCAATAAAAACACACACACACACTAGTGAAATTATTTGAAATTTCAAACACATTTTTTCAAACATGAACTCTTTTGTTCCTATTAGATACTTGGAATCATGTCAATTGTTTATCAAAATAGTTACAAGAGACAAAACAGTTACTCAATAAAGAGCTTCCAAAATCCAATTCCAATCATTGTAACAATTATTTAGATATACATTAACCTTTCAACACGGAGTGAAATAGTATTACGTCTTGGGAGATTCATCTATAGGGATTAGGTATATAATATTATGCAGGACATTTATGTATGTACTAGATTCTATCTGTTTTGTTGCTGTTGATAACAAATAATATTTTCAAGCCATTATTTGATGCAAATTAACCATTTCATTAATTGTTCCATGTTACGTTAACGTTAAAAGATCCTGTGATTTAATGACATCTTGCAGTAGTTGCAATAATTTGAAGTTAACGTAAATATGATAACAATTAAAAAAGAATATTGAGATTAAATGTTATCATTATATTAAATATTATTCATACTTTTGTTACTGTGTATTTGGACAGAAAATGACCATATAGTATGAGATTTTAAAAAAATATTTAATACTGATGGCTTTAATATTACACATTCGGCATTCGCCAAGCAGAGAGCTTCAGCTTGCCAAAAACAGCAGATGTGTTCAACGAATGTTTGCTTACATTGAGGTGTTCAAAAGACCAACACATGGTGGGTAGGGCAAGCACTGAATGTTTGCCTCAGAACAAATAGCAAGCAACATATCTACACTGCTTGTGATTTTGTGAGCTGCTTATTACTCGCTGAAGAATACGTGGAGCCGCCTTTAGAATTTTGAGGTGCAGAAGTAGAGACAGTGAAGATGCCATACCAGTGACAGTGAATACAAATGTGTTATTGATGGTATTGCTACAATTATCGGTTGACAACAGTAACTTTAATGACACTGATATAATTACTCATTGGTATTGAAGATAGATGCTTTTTAATTAAATTTTTTATTTGAACACACACAATCCATTACATCGTTATGATACTAATAATTGCTAAGTTTATAACTCTAGATCATACAACAATTGAAGATGTAAATAATCTATGTGCTTCATTGAGATCAGATATTAATCTATTTGCGGACCCAATATCTGTGTTATATTATTAAGCATTTTCTTCTGTTACTGCCACTAAGTTTTATTCTGGCTGTAACTTATGTTGTATATGTCCTACAATGGGCCACCGATACCTCGTAACGTATCTTATTATCCCTGTAATGGGTTAATCCTGCAGGACTAATTTATGTATATAAATAAATAATGACAGCAAGCAATTAGAATTCTCTCTTCTTTGACAATTTCAAAAAATATTTTTTTTGACATTAATATTAAATTTACAAAGATATCAAGCATACGTACGAAAAAAGGAGCTGAGCTGCTACTGCCAAATGATGCTTGCCACAGACTCACATTTCCGTCTCCATCTCCAACACCAAACTTATTGCCGTGTTCACTGAATCGTACTCGAGTTACTTTGGCAAATGTGCCTGGGGGTCTGGGCACAGCTACTGGTTGGGTGGCATTCCACTCCCACATCTGTACTGAACCATCTTGCGCACCAGTCAGGTCTACAACAAAAGTAGGTAATACATTTTAAAATGAAAACTTCTTCTACAATTAAAGTTGTTGGTCTAATACAAATATTAACTGCAAAGGCACTATTTCTTCTACCCCCAAGTTCAGATTGTGGGGTAAGAGCCATTAAATAATGAAAGGTGTTTCAAAGAAAGCAAACAGAGTATGCAGTCTCATGCTCACAATATTTTAACTCATGTCTTTCATTGGCAAACGTTGAGTCTGAATGCATGGCAGTTAATCTTGAGTAACCTGTCTGAAAACTACAGAACATTACTTAAAAACAACTGTTTCAATACAATATAATCAGTTATAGATCAGTTGTAGTCTTATTTCATAGGCATTTTTTCTTTTACACGTAAAAATGACATCTCTGATAAGCTATTAAATATTCAGAATACAGGTGTCTGGTCATATTACAATTTATTGGGTTTTCAAAACAATAATTCTGAGAAAAACATAAAATTCCAAATTACGAGTTTGATCTACTTATTAAAATTAATTATTTCTCTCTCAAAAGGGACATTGAAATTGGGGATAATAAAAAGGCAAAGATCACTCTGTTTCAAAAAGGTTTGAGTGAAAAGAAGCCAAAATCAACCACTGGAATTTGTAAGCCATGTGTTTTGAAGTTATTTTTCATAATAATCTTAAAATCTAACTTTCACAGATTAAAATGTTAAAAGTAAAATAATAATAATTCTATTGTGAATAAAATTTAAAATCACATTTAAAACATAAAACGTAAAATCTAGTTAATTTGAGATGGGATAAATTAAATAATTTGAAAAGGTTTATCTTTGAAATTCTTATTTTAACCAAAGTAATTTTGACTAAATTTGTTTCAGAGAGTGACAGGTCATTTTCAACTGACTACAAGAATTAGCATAAAGACTGTTATAATTCAAAGCAATGTAAAAAATTAAATATTTTCACACAAGATATATGCTGAGGAGCATAATACCATAACATAATAACATAAGCAGACCGCATAATGTTAACTATTACTACTAATATGACTTCTATATCATTTTCAATGACTAATAATTAAATTCTATAAAAATGTTTAAACAATTCTATTTTCAACTCTTACTGAATTTATTCAGCGAGCTCATGTGATTTCTGCTTTATGTGTTTTGGCATTCAATGAAGAATCTTTGGGCATGTTGGTTAGTAGAATGACAAACTACCCATTTTGGAACACAAAATATTAATATCAAATGTTTTTGAAAATCAAATTATGATTATTAAACTCCTCTTCACCTACCTGTTAAAAATATAAATTAATTTTTCTTTGATTATACCACAAGAAATTATGTCATGCAAATAGTTGTGTACAGTAAATTAAATGTCACTAGCACAATGCTGAAGATTTCTGGTAAATCCAATACTGAGAATTGACTAATTGTGAAACTGCCGTAAGAATCATAGAAAATTCCAGTGATAAGATATACACAACAATTAAATAGTATTAACAATCTAACAGGACGTGTGAAATTTTATAGTAGTGGAGTATGCTTTTCACAGAGACTACTTGAGGGCTAATGAAATTGGACAGTACTGAGTTACTGACAAAATATATATCTTAAATTGATTTTTTAGAATATGTCATAATCAATTATTAACTCTTGTTTTGAAAATTGATTTGAATCAATCTTTATGAAGAAATTTACAATGAAAATTTATAAGCATAACACCTGAGAACACCAAGCTTCTAGCATTTGAGTTTTTGAAGGTATCTTCATATTACTGAAACAGGGTAGCTAAAAGACTTGTGACAGGCAATATTTCTATATGTTTCATAAAATGGTAAATAAGTGTTTAGCTTACACATTGCCATGAATGGATGAGAGCACACTCTGCGGATGCCATCCACACGGTGTTTCTGTACCTAAAAGCCAAAATATGTTTATTGGAATACATCATTTGGAAAATATCAATTATCATGAAAAATGGTGCAATCTTGAGAAAAAATTAGAAAAGTTCCATGTTTTAATAAACAAGAGACTAAGCTTACACACAATCATCATGGTTACAGACATAACTCTCAAAACAGTTACTTTTGTTCAAAAACATCTAGGAAATAAGAAAAAGAAACAACAACAACAACAACAAAAAAAACAGGTGAACATACAACCATAAAAGTGCATTGTACAGAAGATTATCCTCTTAAAAAGGAAAACACACAACAATGCTAAAGGCATAACAAATAAATTTCAATTGAAGTAAATAACCAGCTGATAAAAAATACAAATGGAAAACCAAAGAAATATGTCACATTTAGTGCCCATTTTTTTCAATGACACTGATAATTTATCAAGCAAAGAGAATGGGAAAAGGGAAATATAAAAATAAGAAACCATAAAGCTGGATTAGAAAGCAATAAAGAGAAATTAGCAGACAAGCATAAAGCATGCCCAACAGAGAGACCTCACAATGTTAAGCAAAGTCCATTGCTTTTTCTTCTTATGTATATTCTCAATAAAATATAAAATAAAACATTTATTATCTCATTGAAATTGAATACAAATTATTGTTCCTCCACTGTGATAATCCCAAAATATTGAAGTTCAAATTATCATGCTGATGTGCTTCTAAGTAGAGGGCAAAAAATTATTTTGAAGCAACATTTTTACTAACAAAATTTAACCTATTCTGTTGTCTTGAAATTTAATTTACATAAATAGGGAATTGGATTGTTTAAATCAAGAACAAAAGAAATTTTGCAATTTCAGTTTTTTCACCAAATTTCAATCAAATTGTCCAGGTTATGAAATATGACTCTTCACAGAGATAATAAAGGCAAAATCTTAAAATGAAGTTGATTTTTCTCTAAGATGAAACTCTCAAAAAACAAGCAAAATTAAATTTATAAATCAAATAACACAATAATTAAATTTCATAACTTTTAACTGAGATAAATCAAGATTTCACCATAATATGAATTTATTTCAGCATGAGAATGTTCACTTGAAAACCTATACATGTCGAACTAAAAAATATTTGTCAACGAAGTGCTAAATAAAAATTTAAAACCATGTGTTTTCTGAAATATCAAATAAAATATATTATAGCCATTTTGCAATAAAAAAATAAGTATTGTGTTTCAGATGGATATTTGTCAATGCTAACTGTTAATCACCTGCAATACAAAAATTAATCGTATGTACCCTTCATCAACAGAGTTTAAAGGAAAAAACAAAAGAAAATTGTGAGGTCTCACTGTTTTTAGGGCAAGTGGACGCTGTGTGGCGGGTCCTCACCGGCTTGAGCAGGTGGCGGCTACGCTCGATGACAAACTGACAGAAGCGCGGGTCGTGACACCCCGGAAAGCTGAGCCCTTTCATCTGGGCACAAGTGGGCAGCACAGACAGACAGACACATATCAGCCACAGAGCCCTCATAAAGGGTGAGACCCAGGACTTACCAGACACACAATTCTCTAACGAGTAGAAGACATCATCCAGAATTGAATACATCCAAAAAAACATTATATGTTAATTCCAGACCTCCCACCAAAACACAAGATCATTATGTCTAAACAATAAACAAAGCAATGAGAAACCAAATTTTATTAAATGGCCAATAAATCCCATGATACCAGCTGGCATTCTTTACACTTGAAAATGTAAAGGATTGTTATTTAAAATGAAGACTCAATAGGACATTGTGATGCAGTTTGTCAGTTTCTAATGTTAGTATAGCAGCCAGGTTAACTGGTTACAACAGGCAACTGAAAATATGGTGCTCCTTAGGTGACAAAAGAAATGTTTATAAATTGCATATGCACCACTGATTGTTAGCAAGTGAAAAATGTGCACAATTGACAGAACTACAAATAGTGTATGGCTGTATAAAGTCACATGTAAATGAAAGCACATACAGTGCATTTTTGTCAATTAAAAGCATATTAAAATGATCAAACAGCTTGCTATTTTATTCTTTAAAATTATTCTGCTGAGAGAGGAAGCATTCCATAAACTCTCTTCTGAATGTTGAACAACATACTAATAAATTAAATGTTTCTCTCAAATTCCACCTATTACATTCTTTTCACCAATCCTTGAATAAGAGAAGAATCTGATTGGTTAGCAGTAAAGAGCTAAGATTTTAATTTTACTCAAGAAATAACTGCAAGAATAACAATTACTGAACCAACCAATTAAACTTACTTAATTTATAATTGAATTTAAAACAAGAAAGTACAATTTTACCACCATTCCCATGGAGAGAGCATAGCAACAAGGCTGTGACCAAAATATACCACAATTTCCAGAATAAATCGTCTGTGCTTGAAGTGTCAAGCCATACCCAATCCAGTTTTTGAAACATACGAAATATACTTGACCACAAAGATTAAGACAACCATTACATTACCATTCAAAATTACATTTAATTTTGTCTTAAAAGATTTAATTAAAGAAACAGCACCAACAAAATAAATTGTTAAAAAATAATTGATGATTAAATGTAATCTTCAATGCATTGCAATGCATGTCTTGCAGACTATTATTACACTGATTTTTCTGTACTAATAGGAACACACTCTTAAAAGAGCCAAAAGAGTTAAAATCTGCAAGTCAAATAATGTCAGTATTTGCTTACATCTAAGCACCTCTCATTGGTATAAAAGAAAATTGAATAAATAAATTTACAAGAAAGATTGTTATTTTAAAAAATTAACATTATTTTTATATTTGCCTTTAATAAATTCTCTCTTATCCCTTAGCAGCTGCAAGTGAAATGTTAACAGCACTTGTCACACAGGATGTCTGCAAACCCCAACTCAAAATTTAAACATTATCACATGCAGAATATAATGAATGTCAAAATAACAATTCAGTTGAAAAGAAAGATAGCTAAGAAAATTTTATTGCCTCATATTTAAGTTATTTAATTTAAAATTCAAATAGGTTTTTATGAAATGGTGAAAATTTATACTTTTTTATTGTTTAAGGAAACTTTCTAACGTTAATTTGTTTTTATTATTTAACATTAAAATCAATCTTAATACATAATGAATTCAACTGCATAATTCTGAATTTTACCAGAAAGACTCAAGAGTGAAAAGACAAAATGGAACAGAGTGCCTTTCTCAAAAGGTATTTAACATTGCAAGTGACCCTGTGTTCTCCAGAGACATGGTATTTACAAAGCTAAGGTGTGGGTATTGCACACTACTGCTTAAAGTGTAAGAATAAAATACAGTCGATTGAGTTCAGTGAATTTGTGTGGACTAACATTTTTGGTTCACTATATCTGATGTCAAAATTAAATAGTTTCTTCACAATGATTGCTTTTATGAATACAGAGATACAGCGAAATACAGTATTTACTACGTAATGCCTTACGCCCTGAGGAAGGTCGCAGAATGGTGACCGAAACGTCAGCACCTTCGCCGTGGACGCGGTGTCACCCGGACAGCCTAGCAAATACTGACTCCGGTCGCGGAAGCCTACGCTCTCACAGCGAAATACATTAACAACACGAACTGAAAATTTCAATATATTTATTTCACAATTTGTTTATTTTTTCTGACTTTTGTTTACCAAATAGACACACATTGGGAGAAGATATTTTTACCATGTAGCAAGTAGTAGTTTGACATGACAGCAGTAACTGACGTGTAGTAAAAAAGACTTGTAGATGAGATATTTTGCATATATTCACAAGTCCTTTTAATTATTTATTATTTTGCAGCATTTTCAGCAACTATTTCAGTTTATGTTTTGAAATAGAATCGACTTCAGTTATAATAAATATCGGGGAAGCAACCACATTTGATTCACTCATCAGACAGATTTGCATAATCCAAAAGTGCCACAATACCTTCATAATTATATACTTCACAGGTTCAGGAAAACATCCAGACATTGTAAATTCAAAATTTCAATATCTATCAATCAGTTATTTGTAACAGCTTGTGTACAGTTTTTATTAATACTTTTTCCACATTCACCTCCAGATCTAGTTTTCATGACCTTTAATTTCTGTGTTGTTCACACATTATTTAAAAGCAACCTTGTCCAACCTTTCAATGCCTCTTGCACTTTGGAACACTTCCTTCACCTTTGTCATTGTTCTTGCTCTCTTCTGTTCTAAAAGACCCCTTCCCTCAATTCATGATATCCTCACCAGATGGAATTTGACTAGTTGACACCGGCCATGTGGATGAAATCTTTAAGCTGGACTCAATTGACAATGATGAGCTGAAACAATTATCTCAGTGGTATGTCAACCTCTTCTTCCTTAAACACTTCACATTTCAATTGCTCATAATATCCAGAGCAGCATGCCGCAAACAGCTTTTAATTGTGTTAGTTCTCATCTCAACAGCAAAACATATTACAAACAGATTGAATGAGCTTGAAAGATGTGAACCAACTACCAGTAATAAATCTTGAAAGTGAGAATCATTCCTTGGACCTTTGTTTCCAGAATAAATGTGGTGTTGGCACGAAGAAACACCAATTTGATGTTACTGAGGTAATCAACTTAAGAAGGAGCTGGACAGTTGTGTACCAGAAGTAGATTTTTTTCTTGTATTAATTCTCAGCTCATAATCCCATAATTTAAGTTCTTCAAACATGAATGCTGTCATTATGATTTTTAATGGTGCTCATAATTTCTAGTAATTTGCTTGATGTTTTCAAAGCTTAGTGCAATTTTATCCTACTAATGAACAGCAGACCTATTGAGAACAATTTTTGAAGTTCTTTATGTTACAAATGATTGCAGTAGTGCAAGGTAATTTCATCTGAATCAGATATTCAAATTTTCCTTTTTTGAGACTTGTATATAGCCCCTTCAAATTCATTGTTCAATTAGAATTCATCTGCATAAACTGAACCTCTAACAGATGTCTATTTGTGTAAGTTGTTGAGTGTCATCAATGATATCTACCTTCTATATCAAAGATAAAATCTTATGCTTTAACGTGATTTACAACACTACAGTTAGCGAGCTTTGCAAACATTCTGTCTTTTCAGGATGCACTTTTTTATCTACACTGACCTCCTTACTCTCTAAAGTCCCTTTCCCCTTATGTCATAAAAATTACTCAAGATCGTTCATCTACAAATCCTGAATATTATTGGAATTCACAGTACTGAATTCCACCCCCTCCCCCCTCAGGGAACTGCTGAAACAGAAGCAGAATAAACATTGTACTAAAACCTCCCAAGAACTCCACCAGCACGATGTGGCTAACTTGTCTTTCATGCCAACAATCGTTAGTTTTAGTTCCTTCACACTTCACTCCCTTTCCAGAATTTAAAGGGAAGCTTCAAGGCCAAAATTCTGAGGCAATTGCAGAGATCAAAGAGAGAATTGCAGAGCAGAATTGACAAGTTTTGAGAAGTGGACTTCCAAGACACATTTCAGAAATGACAAGAACACTGGGAAAACTGTGTTGCTGTATAAGGAGTTTATTTAGAAGGTGACAACCGTAAAAAGATAAATAATAACAAAGTTTCTAGTCAACAAAACTAGTCTTGAAATTTTTTTGATACCAATGCACTATGCAGGGAATGATACTTAATCATATAATTTGGTAACAGTGATACATAATGCAATAGTTTTTTTGACAGAACATAAAAATTAGCATAGATTGTTGAGGGGGAAATACTGAATATCATCAAAAAGAACTGTTTGAAAAAATACAATTAAGATCTTTCATAACTGAGTCACACATTATATTTTCAATAAAAAATCACTTGAGAGATGCATATCAGGCAGGAGGGGGAAGATCACAAGACATTTTTTCACATTTTCTCAATTTTTCAGTTCACTAATAAAAGAATTGACAAAAGAATTATAAAATATTAAAAAAGAGTAAAACCGGCCCTACATGCATTTTTTCATCTAGAAATATTTGGAGCCTTTTTTGAGAAAATGTCCTTTGAACATTTCTGAAAATGTTCAACTTTAAGCTCAACTTCACAGAAAACCTTTGATTTTTTTAGAAACTAGAAGAAATCATTTGAAACACCTGTACTCACAAAAACAATATGATTTAAAAAAAAGGAAAAAAGACGTGAGATATATTTTCACAAAAATACAATGGGGTAATTTTTAAAAAATCAAAAGAATAGACCTGATGAACATGACATACTTCAGATTATTCAATGCATTTAGTACTATCTGTACACAAATTTTGACGAAAAAAATTGGAGCAGTTTTGAGAAGATCTTATTTTTAAAATTGACTTTATTTCATACAGAATTATATGAAAAACAATTCATATTTTGAAGAAATTTTGAAAAAGCAGTTCCTAAGCTCATTCAAAGATCTAATTTTGAAGAACAGATTCATTCAGAAAAAAATCTTTATCTTCAATACTGTAGTTGTAGGAAGATGCCAAAAAAATTTTGAACTTTTGCAATTTTTGAAAATTCTAAGAATTCAACAAAAATTTGTCTTGTGCCAATTTTATACATGACAAATGTCCTGAGGTTAAATACTTTTGCTCTATCCCATTAAACAAATTTTATCCAAACAGTTTTGAGAAAAACTGAAAATGTACTTGAGGTTTTGTAGCCCCCATATCCATTTAAAATTCAAAGGTCATCAGCTAGATTGATCTAGAAATATCAATTGTGGTGAAAATATTGCCTTTAGTTTAGTCTCTAACATTGTTGATGAACTGTCAGACCGAGTATTTACTAGGCTGTCCGGGTGACGCTGTATTCATGGCGAAGCTGCCTACGTTTCAGTCACCATTCTGCGACCTTCCTCAGGGCGTAATGCTGAGGAAGGTAGCAGAATGGCGACCGAAACGTCGGCACCTTCGCCATGGACGCGGCGTCACCCGGACAGCCTAGTAAATACTGACTCCGGCCGCGGAAGCCTACGCTCTCACTGTCGGACCGAATTGACGGACATGTTTTGCCGCAAACCATTTTTTTTATTATCAAGTACCCACCCTTGTGACTACACACGGATATAATTTCCTACGTATAGGAAAGAGAATTATCCACTTTTTTGATATCAGTGGCCTACAATACAAATATTTCTTGTATAATTTTTCTTACAATTTCCAAGTAACAGTCAATGCAATTACTCAGCAATTGCTCAGTAAAAATAACACAAAAGAGCATACGAAACACAAAATGTTGTTTTTTGCCAGCCTTAATTGCAACTCAAAATAGTTGATAACAGAATAGGTCTTACCACAGAAGCACCTCGTCCAGTCTGGCTGCCCAACCCTGGTTGTGGAGTAGCTGGAGTATTAAGTCCAGCTGAACCTGCACCCGGTGGCAGAGTCTGTTGTACAATAGCTCTATCAGCTGCAGTTTGAATAACTAGGAAACTTGAAGCTGGAAGTGTATCTGGATCCCTGTACATAAGAGATAATCCTGTTAATTTCAAAGCAAATTGTGTTCATTTTTAAATTCAGAGTTTGATTAAATAAATTCTTCTAAACATCCCTCCAACATAAAGGACTCAAAAAAACTGGATTGCGTATAAACAAAAGGAGATAATATTTCCACATTTATCAGAATATAAGGCAAGGATACTTCCTAAATGTCTTGTTTGAAAAATAGGAGTTGTCTTACATTCACAGATTATGTTTTACTGTGATCCATGATTTTCATTTACTGTGGTTTTGCCAGGCAGTTTGGACCCACATTTTTAAAGGGACTGTTAACAGATAATCTCAGGTAAATTGCTTTGTACAAAGTACAACACATCATGAAAACGGCTGAAAATTGTAGCCATGATTTTGTTGAGGTAACTATGAGTACAAAGTTCACAATGTGATCATGCACTGATCTAAGAATGCATATTTTATGTTAATGCTTATTAAAGAAGCAAGTGCCATACCATGCAAGACAGGAAGAAAGTCTTGTCTCAGAAGTAATGCTCTTACGTGGAGTCAGATGAAATATTGATTGACTGACTAACTAACTGATTGATATTTCCAGGTATGTCAACTGCTACGTTCATTACTTCCATTAGTAAAGTGAATGCTTTACCCCAGGTAGAGGCAGTGTTTCTACTCCACTGGATGGTGAGATCCGGCGCCAACAAGGCTTGCAGGGGATTTCCCCCTCTAGGTATTTTCTTAAGCAGGGCACCACCCCAGGCATGACAAGTTTTAAGCTCATGGCTTGTCTCCTGATGTGTGTTAGTGTCATACATGTACGTGAAAGAGTGTAACGGGAGAGGAGAGGAAAAGGAAGAGGAAGGAAAGATCGCATGCGGTCTATGGCCCCCTTCACTTTGTTAGGATACTGTTCTGGCATTCACCTGGCATTGATTGGAGAAATCATGGAAAACTACCAATCAGAGCAGGTGGCCACTCTGAGAAGTCTCCTCCAGACAGTGACTGAACTTTACCTAGCTATAAAGTTAGATCCGAAAATTCTGCCAATGTCGATACTTGAACTCTCGGTCCTTCTGGTCAGAGTCACTACAGATACTGTGGCAACACAGCTAAACTCAGCCAGTTTCAGAAGAAAGATGATCACAAATTCACACGCAGAAATTTAAGGCAGTCCTAATAAGCCAAAGGATGACCTAATATGGAAGGCCCAGAAAGAAAGTTCAAGATGCATATGAAGATGATGGTAAAGACAAAAATGATGATGTTTATAAGGAACAAGAAAATTGTGTGAGCAGAAGTAAAACGATTTAACTTTTTCATCAACAAGACAACTTTCTAGCCAATGAGATAATTTGTGATTTTATTTTGACAACAAATTGAAAGAATTAATTAAAAATAAAAAATAGTCTTGGGAGGCCTCTTCAAAATTAGAGATCACAGACTTGGTATAAGCTAATAAATATGCAAAGAAAAAATAATTTTGTAGCTAAGTAATTGTAAATAAGAGAAAATTTTTTACATAATGTGTGCATATTTTGAGGAGATAAGAGGAAATTTAACTTATCACAAAAGTTCTCCTTTATATTTTCCAAGTTCTCAAGCAATAAAAAAAGTCAATCATACCATCTAGAGAAAAGTACGTAAGGAACACATTTTCCTAGGGTTTATAATAATGTTGACAAAATGTGGAAAATTTTTAAGTTGAAAAAGCCTAAATATTAGCAACTATTTACGTACAGTGAAACTTTGTTTATACATTTTTCACATAACATTTTCCTAACTTCCCATACTTAATTTCAGATATGCATTTTACATTTATATGTTTCTCACACTTATACGTACATAATGAAAGCCCCTTTAAGACTATATAATGTCCAAAATGACATAGATGACCAATAAGTGAGAGCATTTATGTTATAGAGCAGGGCATATCACATTTTATCTCTGTAGAGCTAAGGCCAATTGCTTCTGTCTCTCAGCAGGTGTCTGGGACCCAGCAGGAGCACTATGGGAAATTCAAGTGTCAAACGATGAGGTATGAGATATTCAACGGTGCCGCTTATTGCTCCACCCTGCAGTGATTTTCTCCATAGACACCTGTGTTCCCATTTACAACCGCAAATACCAAAACAGCCATTATCATTGCTTGTGGATAGTTATTGTTAACTAGTGTAACATTAGATAACAATAATTAAACAAATAATTCAGTCAAGAAATGAAGTCCAGCAGCCCTTGAGAAAGTTTGCGACAGTAACAATTTCTGAAAGTTGATTTGTCAGAAATCATGCAAATATTTGTATTTAAGTGTTATAATGCAAACAAACTACCAAAAAGAATTACTCTAAAGAGACCTTACATTTTGATTCTTTCTACATTTTAAAAATATTTTTTCTCACACAATGCATTCAATATTTGGCCCAAATGATTGAGTACAACTTAACCTCAGAACATTTGTCACGTGTGTTCTGTGAGAAAGCTTCTCTCAATTTATAAATTTTCATACGAAAAAAATTGTTCACAAACATACACAAACTTAAACATACTTAAAATGTGGACAGAATGCTTGTGGAGCTTAGCTTAGTCTTTGTGTAATGTTTTTGTATAAATGAAGTATATCTTCCTTGTGCTGGAATTTGACTTCCAAATCTCTCAAAAATTTTGAAGATCTATTATTTCCAACTGTAAATCATGAGTTACACTGTCAACATTGAAAATGGTAAAACAAAACTTTGATATCTGATTCTATATCATAAATTTCATGAAATCTATTTCCAAAATATATGTTCTTCATTAATGCACTTGTCGTACTCAGCTGCATGATTCACCACTCTTTTGTTTATACTTTTTAACATGATTAAAAACTTTATGACAAACCAAGCATTTGATATCTCCGGTTTTTGAGGAAAAAAGTTATTTTTATTTTATTATTATTATTTTTATTTTATTATTATTATTATTATTATTATTATTATTATTATTATTATTATTATTATTTGTAAAAATTATCAGACCATTATTATGAGAGCTGCTTGCATCCTTTTCCACGACAACACGTTTCGCAATGACATCTTGTGTGAAACCCATCCCTCCCACTGCAAATTTCGCAACTGCTGCACCCGCCCTCTACTCTGGCCACTGCCAACAGCTCTTTGCTCTTAAATCATCTTTCTGATGAGCCCTGTCTTACAGGAACCTATGGAATTTTTGTGTTTAATTCAGTATTCAGGATGTTTAATTTTGTTCACTACACAGGGCATTTCAACTCTCTATTTATGAACAATTAGGGTGGCACTGTTGTCATTGCATCATGTACACCAATATTGCACAATAAAAATTCAGTACATTTAAAGGAAATGTTGAAACTCAAGGGAATCAAAGACATAATGACAATTTGGCCTATATCACTTGAGTGTTGCGTTGAGCGGTTGTCAAGTGTTGAAAGCTAGAAAACGCACATTATCATGACTTACGCTGTAGCTTGAGCGGTGAACACAACTTATTCGACCAAAACTATTCATGTGCCATTTCGCAGAGTGTTACAGAGTGTAAGATACAGCGTTAATTTACGAAACACGTTATGAGACTTGTGTGCTGAGTCATTGACGCATGTCGACACAGCAGACCTCATCAGTGTTAGGAGTTGCCTGTGACTACACACCTGTGACAAAGGCAAAGCACAAATTACAGTGCTATATTTTCCACCAGGTGGATCTATGCCTGGCTTGTATGTCTTTTAAGTTAAAAGTAATATACTTCAGCTTCCGGTCTCAATCAGGAGAATGTCCAGTTTCTGTGATCCATTGAATATTGCCATTTGTTTACCGATGCAAATAAGTTTTCTATAACTTGGGAGCAAAAATGTCAAGTTTTCAAAAGTTGCTAACTTTGCTTCTTTTGAAGCTCATTTTGAGACTCATATTAATCATTCAACTTTTTATAGTTAAAACGCTGGGAAAAGATTCTGGAGCTGAAGAAATCATATGCAGATGGTACTTCTATCTCGTATATAGTTTGTACTGTTCTTTGTCTAAATAAATCTACACTAATATTGGTCCAGGAGTGGAGTGTGCCACTGTAAATGTATTGAGTTTCTGTTTTGCTCTTAATATTGAATTTCTGTTATGAGTTTTCTCACTTATATATTTATTCCCTTCAGTCCCCTGAAAAATGTATAAGTGAAGTTTTACTGTATAACTACTTAACAGACACACAACTACATTTCTTGCCTGGTCAAGTTGACAACATCAAATTCACATTCATCTTCCAGCCATGATGGAGACTCTAGAAGTAAAGAAATGTCCATCTCCTGCACTTCTCGAGGTGTAGCCAAAGCCATCAATCCAGAACCAGATTGCTACAATTGAAACAATTATGACATATTAGCAGTTACATTATGATCAACATAAAGTAGGAGAGAATCAGAGTAAGTTTCATCATCCTTTTCCATAGAAACAGCATTTAAGATATATCTATCAAGAAAGAAAAACAGTAAGAGCAAAGAAGAAAGAAAAAAAAGAAAGAGTTTTTCTCTTCATATCAATGCACAAAATCTACAGAAAATTAGATGAAATTATAATCAAAATGAACCAAACTTTCCCCTACATTTAATGTTCATTTCTGGCACAAAATTATTCATTTAAAAAAAAATTATTGAATTCATGAGAAGAATTCTGAGGTTCATCACAAAAATAAAAATATTAGAATTAGAAACAAAAATTTAGAATTAAGAATAGTCATTAGAGGGAATGCAGAATTTGCAAAGATCTTCATTATGAAGTATCACTAAACAGTATTTAGAAACTGCAATGAGTTTGAATCAAACATACCGGTACCTGATTGAGGCAGAAGGCAGAAATGGAATCCTGGTCCTTATGAATAATCTTCACAGGCTCTGGAAGTGGAGGTGGGGCAGTACCAGTCTCAGCACCATCTTCTGATGGCCCACGGGTACTATCCAAGCCACAGAGTGGTTCACACATGGACACAACTGAACGACGCTTTCCAAATACTGCTCGGATAAAGATTTCCTGTACCAGTTCTTGTCGCACCAGATACCTCCACAGTCGTCGAGCAGGTGCAGCAGAAGCATGTCGGCCACTAGCAAAAACAAAATCAAAATACAATGACAATAGTAGGCTGTTGCTCAAACTGTTACACTCTGAGAATATAAGGAAAACACTTTATACAAAAACATTTTTAGACAAGTCTAACAATTTCACTATTTATTTTAGTTATTTTATTAAGCTTAATACAAAAAAAGAAAAAGATTTCAATAACATATCTCTTTTATATCTGTGTTGAGGTAAGATACAATGAAACTAAATTGTTTTAATCACTTCAGTATCAAGAATAAGATCCCCTTCTAAAATTATCTAAAAGAGATTCTACAAGCAAAAACATTAAAATTTCAGATCAATGAACCCTCTACCACATTGCTTTTCATAAACTTACAAACTTGAAACAAAATGTCTTTAAATTGAGTCTCCTAATAAAAAGTTACATTCCAAAAATATTTACTTTAAAAAGAAACTGAACTTACTGGAATGGAGTATTGGAAGCCTCCAAAAGGGAGCGATACTTGTGAATTGCAGGACCTGTTGTGGTGGGTTCAACATAGCAACCAGGAATGTAATCTGCTGGTGGGGGCCGACGTTGATCGAGTTCATCTGCCAGTAATTCCTGCCATTGTGCCACTGTGCGCAGTACTCCATGGACCAGAGGACTCAGAACTGGAAGTTCTGCAAGAAAAAAATTACTTGTCAGTGAAGAGAACCTGTATCAATCTTGCCATTATTGTAGAATTCAGATGTTTATATAAACCACGAATATTCCCAACTTACTAGACTGTAGACCCCTTTTGCAAAAGTTATTAAAAATCGCTCAAAGTAATTAACCCAGTCAGGTCTTTTGATGACTCCCAGACCCTTCTGAGCTACCCTAGCCTGCATCTGATAATGCTAGGATTAAATATGTTAATTATTTATTTATTGTGATTACTTAATTGATGTTTATTGGTTCACTATGCTGCAAAATCACTGTACACTTTTCATGCACAGTACTTTCATGCATGCACACATTTTTTACTTTAAGTTAATTAACCAAAAAGGTACTAAAAATTTAAACAATATACTTTGAAAAAACTTGTAGGTTATATAAAATGACTTTTTACAAGATTTAATGTTAATCGATCACTAAAGCATCTATCTCTGTATCTGAGCACATGGCAGCACTCCAAGTTATGCTGCCCAGAGTTGAGAGGGAGCAGATAGAACTTGGATGACCTAAAATATCTATTTAGCAATTTATCTCCTTATATGCCTTGTTTTTAACATCTGCTATTATCTAGCACTCAATTAAAATGTGTTATTTTTCTGATTACAATAACATTATCATATGAAATCCAAAAATATACATATGAAATTACACATACATACAAAATCCATAAAAAAAAAGGTCCTAGATTCCAAACCTAACTTCAGTCTTTTTCTGGCCATCCTGACATGTTAAAGTTTGTTGAAACATTTTTAGAACATTAACATAATACAAAATACACACCTGGCAACTCGATTCCAGCTGCATTAAGGAATTCGTGAAGTTGTCGCTGTACAACACGTGCTATGGCCAGTCTTAAAACACACCAGCTGAAGGATCCAGGATTAGTGTGTTCTGAAGAGGGTTCTCGTGTCGCCCCCAAGCGAGAGGCCCCTCCTATACCTGTTCCACTGCCCTCAAACACATCCTCTTCCTCTTCTTCATCCTCTGGCTCACTCTCTGCTGACTCAGCAGAGTCATAATCCACTACAGCAGCCTCAGCTGACAGCTGTGGCTGATTCAGCAAAGAGAAGAGAAACAGATGTAAATTCACATTTTATGTGACAAACATCACTCGCATAAGTACAAGCTTTCTCTTACCTATATATTTGGAGTAGTCCAGGTATTATTTATAACTATACATGTACAACTAATATCCTACTTATCAATTTATTAGACAAGGCAGATTATAGAATAATGTATGTTATGGCTTGTCCGAAATATAGTTATTGTTAAGAGAAGCCAGTTAATTTTGCACATTAGCCAGGTAAATTGGATAAAGCTGTGAGAATGATGATGAACATATCATTTTGGACAACATCTGACTAATTTGTGAAATAGCCACAGGATGCTGGCATAAGTAAAGTGACTGGCTGAGAGGCATAGTGCTTGTGAGAAGTATTTTGACATAAAAATGCATTGGAAATTAGGCACTGAACAGATGCAAGGTTTATGCAAACCCAGGTCGAAGATTAGAGCCTTGTCCCAACTTGGAAATGCATTCAAAGCGCCATCTGAGGTATACAGTAAGGTTAGGCAGTATGTAGATAAGACTTTTATGACTGACACTGCAGGGCTCAAATCTTTACATCTTGTCTCTCAATAGTTGAAACTTCTCATCGGCAGTTTGAGACCTGTTTATCACACAATCTCTGTTAATCCTCAGCACCATAAAAAAGTTTATTTATCTATCCTCCTCGTATTGGCTAACGTGCAGTTCATGTGGTCTAACATATGCTTCCAAGCTATTCCACTTTACATTTGATCCATCCATTATGGATAATGCGAAAATGGATAATGTGAACCTAAATTAGTCAGATTCAAGCATAATTCAAATGTATAGATAAATTATATTGCATCGCATTAAAGGTCAATATTGCTTAAGTTTTGGCATTTTTTTTGTGAGTGGGGGTGGGGGGGTGGGGGGTGGAGATTGAGTATAACTTTTTCTTTTCCATAAATTTAACTTAAAATATGATACACCTGTTTCAGAGATGCTAAATAAGAATAGTGAGTGTGAGTGGAAGGGCTTGAACAATCATTCATATTAGGGGACCCTACCAAATGGCAATGATACATTTCGGGAACAATTGTTACAGTGCGTTTCAATTAATTATATTTTGGATGGATTCGACAAATTCCAACAAGTGTAAGTAATAATAAAGAGATTTTCTTCATTAACATTGTTGCCAGTTTTTATAAACTGAAGTGTTTTACTTCACAGAATTTGCGACTTCTTTACAGCAACTTCCATCTACACTTCCATTTCTCATAACACCCACTACAACCATTTTTTTTACAACTATCACATTAAAAATACATTTTATTTCACTTCTTTTATGTTAAAAGGGTCTAAAGTAACCGGTTTCTGGAATTAAAATACATAATTATATTTCCAAAATAAAGGAACAAAACATGAGTTGTGTTGAAAGTGCTGACGTATACATTACAATAAATACCTGTGATACTTCATTTAATATCTCACACACACACATGCTTCATTTATTACATACTCATACATTAAAAAAAGCATGTTGATAATATAAAGGAAGTATTATAATACCAATTTACTGCTCTTACCTTCATGAGAAAGTATGATATCATGGACATTTCAGGAGGGACAAATTGCTCCCGATAAGTAGGCTTGTCTTCTTTCATATGTGGTGCACCGCCTTGCGAGCCAAACTGACCCAACAGTCGCATATTGAGTCGGTAGCGCTGCTTAGTGAGACTTGTTACAGCAGTCCATACCCCACTGCCTTCACTGGCACTACCTTCGCGTTCGAGGGAGCCTGGACCAGCACTCTGAAATCACACCAGAAAACTGGTTACATGCAAGTACACATTAAGTGACAATTCAAAACGTTCTCAGAAAACTACAAAAAGACCAATTCCCAGCTCATATATGTTTATCAATGCTGATAGTGCAACATTTACATCAGAACAATGTAAGGCAGAATCTTCTCTACACAAGTTTAAGGACACAATACACAGTTAATTTTGAAAGGAACATACAAAATAATAATTTTGACTCTGACTCTTACTTCTGATCCGGGTGAGTCATTGATTGATCTGGATCCAGATTTTATTGAGCACAAAATCGATATGGGGTATCTGTGCACATCTCATATGGGTATCTTTTACCTAACTATGAAACTTTAAGGTAACATGGATGCTAGGCTAGGCAGCTAATCTTGATAACACATTCTGGGCCAGAACCATAGGATGATGTCCTACCCCAATTCCTGGACATTTTCTTGGAGAGTAGCAATCGGCAACCTTGTATATTGTATTATTGTAATATTCTTGTTGCCTCCAAAGTGAGCAAGATGATGAGAATTCTCATCCACAGTCCTTCCTGTTCATGTGTGAGATAACAAGAAATCTCATTTGGAGTCCATAGTCTGTTAAAAATTGTGCTGTTAATTTAACTCGTGCTTCACTGTCTCCTTCCTAGTCGCTGCAGGAGCATTCATTACCAAATGTGTGAAAAGGGTGTTTCTTAACACCTATCTTTAAAACCAATGATCAACTGAATTTAAAAAATGACAAAGCAACATTCAAGCTTAGAGTCATTTCTAAACTTTTTGAAAAATCAAAACTATTCACCTTTCTTCCATTTTAAACCAAATTCTTAATTAATCGTAGCATGGTTTCAGAAGACATTGTTCAATTACTAATTTAGTTATTTTTTAAGAATTTTCTCATGGATAAAACAAATACATTTTCAACAGACTTTTCAAAACTATTTAACACAGTTAACCAACAGATAGATAAATAAATTAAGATCGCAGTAAAAGAAAAATTTTCTTGCAACTGTTTCATATAACAAGAAAGGTAAAATACTCAGTTTTACAAAACGATATACTTCCATTTTTTATATCTGTAAATATGGTAATCTCAGGTGTTCCATAGTCATCACTTAGCACCACTACTGTTTATTATTTTTATTAATGATATTAAGTAATTCGATGTAACTGAGAGTTCCTACTATTTGCTGATGAATTAAAATTACTATGTGGTATCAGGGTTGAATGACTATCAAGTTACAATTAAATTTAAATCATCTAGTTTCCTGGTTTGAAACGAATCATCTGTCCTTACATTTTAATAAATGTAAGACATTAAAATTTTCGAGATCACAAAAACATTAGGTAGTATGAATAAAAACCTAGTATTTAATTGAAGTCTGAAATAAGTAGTAAAATCATCTGTTTTTAGTTTTTTAGTCCAGATTTATTTTAGACAGTCATTTTTAATTAAACATACAAGTACAAGTAGTAGCATAGTGAGTTATAATACACCCTAGGGTGTCTCTCTCATCCCAGCCTCCACATCGATGTAGTCTTCATTCATTACTCAATCCTCTTTTCACCATTGCCTCATCCACTCTCTCCATGTAAGTCTAGGCCTTCCTCTTCGTTGTTGGTATCTGGTTGCCATTTCCACAATATTTTTGGCCAACGTTCTTCGTTCATTCTTTGCATGTGCCCGTACCATTTTAGTCTTTTCACTTCTATGGAGTCAATTATATTAATACTTACTTCTGCTTTACGTTTTATTTCTTCGTTCTTAACTTTATCCATTAAAGTCAGTCCGTAACTTCAGCACCAGAAGTCCATTTCCATCCATTCCAATTCTTTTCTCTCTTTTTTGTTACTTCCCATGCCTCAGATCCATAAAGAGCAATATTCTCTACAACAGTCTTATATGATTTTCTTTTTACACTCTTACTTAATTTATCTTTACATATCAGTGAATATAAATATTTTGAAGCCACTCCACCTTTTGCAATTCTGTTTCTAATGTCTTGTGTACTGCCTCCATGTGCATTTATTTCAGTATCTAGGTATATAAATTTTTGATGGGGTTTTACATCATCCAGTTTCAGACTTTTAGCACTTCCTCTTACAACCATATACTCGGTATTGTTAAGATTTATTTCTAAACCCGATTCCAAAAACTCTTCAAATAATTTTCGCAGCAAGTATAGAGCATCGTCTTCACCACCTAATCATCTGGAAGTATAGAGAGAATTACATAGAGTCACCAATTTTAATATCAATATTACTACTTTTTTCCCTCCATCTTCTCAAGGCTTCATTCAAATATATTTTAAAGAAAGCTGGGGCTACACAGCACCCCTGTCATAAACCTTTATTTACTGGAAACGGTGCTGAAACGTTTCTCCCTACTTTTATTTGGCTCGTATTATCACTGTACAAATCTATAATGGCACTAATCAATTGCGTATTTACATTTTGTTTCTCCATTGCCATCCATAGTGTAGATAATGGAAGAGTGTCTTATACCTTTCGCAGATTTATAAACACAAGGTGCGTCTCCCAAGTTATGGGTGAGACATTTGTCAGTTGCCTGTCTAATACTAAACATGTTATCAATATATGAGCTGCCTTGTTCCTTGGAATCAGTAAGGTATCTTTCCAGTCGGGTTTTTAATATTTTCCTAAACACTTGGCCAATGCTGCTAAGGACAGTTATGCCTCTATAATTTACACACTGTTTCCTATCACCTTTCTTGTAGATGTTAGAGATATATCCTTTCCTGAAGTCCTCGAGTAATTCTTCTCCCATTAAACATCTATTGTATAGTCGATTAAGAAGATCCAATAGAAAACCGGGGCCATGATTCAGCAATTCAATGTTTACCAATCTTGGATCGGCTGCTTTTCCATTTTTAAATATCTGTATTATTTTCTCGTGTCTTTTTCACTGTAATATATTGTGCATCAGCCAGTTCCTTGAGCTCTATGTTGTACGTGTTACTAAATGCAAGCCTATTTTCTTTCAAAAGTTCTTTGTAATATGTTTTAAAATGATCTACGGGTTGACTTATAGGTTGTAGTACTGAATTTTGCTTTTTGTTTTGTCTGAGGTTCTTTATTATTTTCCATTCATTCTTTGATCTGACATTGCCTACAGGCTGTTCTACATTTTTACATACTCTTTCCCAAGCTTCCTTTTTTGCTTTTCTTACTTCTTGTTTAACTTCTCTACTAATTTGACAATACCATTCTCTGTCTTCACTATCTTCAGTGAAGTATCTTCAGTATCTTCAACCATGTATTATAAGCAATTTTCTAGTCTTGCACATTCCCTGCCAAAGAATTATTCCAACATGGGTCACCTATTCCTTCCCAACAGTATGTTCTATTTCTCCGAGGCTTTCATAAGCTCATTAAAAGTCAGTCATAAAACGTACTAAAAACACATTAATCAGAAGCCGTAATTTTAGACTGAAGAATTTTATTAATATATTCTCATTATTTTGAAGTTTTTAACCTCAATGTTTCAAGAACTACTTTCCCTTCTTATTTTTTTAAGTCTAAATTTAAGATAAAAATAAATTATTATAAAACAATGATAACTTTCTTAACTTTAAGATTATACAAAGTTATATAAATAAACTGAAATTATTATAAATACGTACTCGCTTTAAATAAATTCTGTCATTTTTTGAAATTATTTCCACTCTATGTAAGAAAAGGTTCCTACATCAATGGAAATATTTCTCCCTTTATGTGGTTCTGGTCTCTGATCAGAATGAGCATAAATAAAAAATTAAAAAATAAATGTGAATCAGTTGTATATGTTGGGGAGAAAAATTATAGATGGAGGGAAGGGGCAACATGATAATGGAATAATATTAGGAGACATTAGATATTTGAATAAGAAAGGAAAGCAACTCTGAGTTGGAAATTTATACACCTTGAACTAAAATTTCTATATTTTGTCTTTTATTTTACAAAACACATCATCATAAATACTAGAAATTTGACTAATTTCAACTTTTGTATTCATTGTGTAATTTCATGTAATACAAAAGTTGAAAGCAGACAAATTTTACCAAGTCTAAACATTAAGGCTGAAAAGGAAGCTGCTTCCTATGCAACTGTTAATGTGTAGGAGAGGTTTGTTTCTCAAGTAGTTTCCTAACATGTTACAAGAGTGCAGCACTTCTCCGAGACCCCTGATCTGCCCAGATGAGTTACAGATCAGTGAAGTTTGTTTTGAAAGACGTTTGACATACGATTGGAACAGGTTAATTGTAATAAAACTTTACTATTACTTATTGTATTGGATGATTGCCTTTAACTATAAATAAATAATGATGTAAGAGCTTCTACTGCTGAGAAAAAATAGTTATTATTCTCTCACATGATTTTTGTCTCTAGTATACCAGTACTTTCTTAATTCTCAACAGAACTTAATAATATCTATAACATTGAACCTTCTCAGCAATTCAAAACTCAACTTAAAATTTTATGTTTTGGAGGTTGAACATGATATGTACTAAATAAAAATATAGCTACAACTCAGCAACATTTGGGAGTTGCTATGATTTGATGCCCTCAATTTTCTTTACTTTCTTGCTGGCAAAGTTTAAAGGAACAAGTAATACAATTCCAAGAAGTTAAATAAATAAATAAATATTACCTGAGGTGTCTGTGGTGTCTGGGGAGTTGGATTACTAGCAGCCACACGCAGCAGCTTTTTCACTCCTCCTCCAAATAAAAAAGCCCAAGTCTGCTGGGAAAAATGCTGTCCTACCAGACGGTACAGAATGAGAGAGTCACAGGTGGATAAGGCATACACCACCAAGCTCATGTATGTAGCAACAAAAGCTTCTACCAAGAGAATGTTCAGACGGGGCGTATCTTCATCTTTCTCCCGTGCCAACAAAGCACGAAGATTAGTAACACCTAAAAACACAGACTATTGTTAACAAACATGTAATCTGACATTCAATATAGCAAGAATTAAGTTATTTATCATTCATTAAAATGCAATGCATTATAATTTATTTAAAAATCAATTATGCCTAGAACATTTGTTACAAATTAATCAACCATTACTAGAGACTGAATTTATATGCACTAATAATCTTAATAACATATTTATGCAATAAAAACTTAAAATATGTCCTATAAAGTATTGTTTATCTATCATAACATGCTACTCATAACTTTTATGCTCAGTACATTCATCTGGCATGTTACTTTTATTACAGTGCTCAGTGAAATTTTGAAGTTAGTTGTCAGTGTGTCTGCTGCTAAATATATTTCATATCACATTCAAATAACCCCTTAGAAGCCACCTTTATGCCAAAAAAAGGAAGATCCTTTCTTTTTCATGGTTAGTTTTGCTCTCATTTGTGAGACTCCTTACTTGTGAGAGTTCAAGTCACATGTATTGGTTCATAAGCATCACTGATTTTCAAAATGGATTCAACAGCATAATAATTGAAACAATTGTGATTTTCCAATTAAAGATCATGCAAAATTCATATATAGGAAATTAATATTATCTACAATGTACCATGTACATAAAAATTACAAATTACAATAAAAATAGTATATACAAGTAAATATGAGTTGTGATTAATGTTTTCAAGCAAAATATGCAGAATAATTATCAATTTGTGAAAATATGATGCCTATTAACAAAACAGGAAAAATGTACATCATAAAATCCTGTATAAATAAATGAAATTTGAGTGTTTTATGCACATACCAAGTAAGCATTATTTCCTACTACAAAGGAAAAATTATGTATTAGCAATGAAATCCTGTCCCAATTCATAACTGGGCAAAGAAAGTTAAGAAGTAAAATGTGAGTTTCAAGAGACACATGTTTTTTCTATTCTTCCACAAGTGATGAGGTCCCATTTGTAATCAGTAATTTGAAACGAAAGAGAGTATTTCACCACAAACCAAAAATACTAAGTTAACCCACCACCACTACTACAAAAACATAATTTCTCCTTAACAGTCTTCCTTCAATACTTTCTCTCCACTGGTCTCCCTCTTATGCTTTCTCCTACGTTGTTCATTCTTGGAACTATTCACACCAACACTAAGGACCAGCTGGACTCTCTCAATTCTGCTAGTTGCAAGTGCACCACAAGCCAGCAGGATGACCAATTCCTTTTCTGGTCATAGCTATTAACCATGAGACTTCCTGAAGGTTGACATCCCATGACAGAAATAGCAACAATGGCAACGGTGCTAACACTAAGCCACTGTGAAACTGCAATAGCTCATCTTTCGTCATCCCTCATTCCTTCCTCTCTCCACTTCAGTAACATCATGAATAAACAACAGTTACATGAATTGGGCAAGTCGTTTCAATCACCCTGCCCCGTTCCTCCAAAACTTCATTTTAATCACGTCACTCAATACTCCAAAGTGATATGCCTCACAGAAAATACGTTGAAGCCTATCAGCTTCTAAGAGAGCTTCATCACTCAAGGGACACACATGAAAACTTGATTAAATTTTTGTTATACATTGGGTAAATTTTATACACAATGTCTAGATTTATTTGTGTGAAAGTGTAATCACAGGTCACAATGATTGCAAATAACCCAAACACTAAATAATATGAAATTTGGAAATGATGGATTACAAGAGAGACAATTCATTGCAACTCTACACGATTGCATGTCTACCACACAAATTCTTATACAAGATTATACAAGATACAAGGTGTCTGTCATACATATAAATTTAATCAAATTCTGATATTACTTCCTTGAGTGATGAGATTCTTTCAGAAGCTTATAAGCTTCAGCGTATTTTCTGTAAGGCCCATCACTTTTGAGTATTTAGTGGCATGATAATTGATTTAGGGAGGGGGCAGGGCGAGTGAAATGACTTGCCCAAGTTCATTTAACTTGCTTATTCATTATATTCATACAGAGGAGAGAAGGAATGAGCGATTGGATCTGATTATGCACAACATCAAATCCTTCCAGACCATTGTTTGCTTATTAATTCTTCATAAGAAAGATTCACATTCAATTTTGGAATAGGCCTTTGTTATTTGGTCACCTTACACTAAATCATCTATCAATCAGTTGGAAAAAGTATAACATTAAATTCTACTCCACCTACTTTTCAGAGAGGGGACACCAATTCAGACATTTGATCATGCCCTTTCCAAATCCTACAATTTATTTAACTCTTTCAGACATGACTATTTTCCTTTTCATGATTTTTCTGTTTACCTGAACACCAGTTGAAGATATTTTTTTATATTTCTAAGTATTTATTTGAGTCTCTGACTTGTAGTAAGTGATAATGCACTATTTTCAGATCTGGTCATTTTCCTATTTCTTCATTCAGTTCTTGGTATTCTAAATTGAGTACAATGGGCCTGAAGGGGTTCAATTAAAAACCTTTCAGGTTAGGAAAAAATTCTATGACTTAATGTTTTTGTATAAAAAATTAACAAGTCTCATTGATTGCCCTGAGATTTTTTGTTTTATCTCTCTTTACATCCCTCAGATAGAAACGAGAAACCTTGCCTGAGTGTGGTTGGAGTATCTGCAAAGAACTAAGTTACAGCTATTACGATATCTTTAACAGACTGCCTAGAACCGCCAATTACTATGCAGATAGGCTTCCTTTTTTTTGTTTTTGTTTTTAAATCCTCACTAACAACATTTAAGTTAACTTTAACTTCTTTTACTTTCTGATTCAAAGTGATCATCATTAATTCTATGAACTATTGTATTTACTACTTCTACCAGAAATTCTCTTATATTCTCTGTAAAGCAGTTGCATACATTTTATATTCATTTAGTAATTACCTTTTTGTATTTTTATAATTCGCTTTTATGGCGTATAATCTGTGCAATGTATTTATTTTGTTTAATTATTTATCTCTCCCAGGGGCATGTCCCATTTATATATAAATAAATAAGTAATTTGCTAAATGGTTTTTTTGACATGATTTAGAAAAACAGACTAATGACCACCTTCTGTGTAACACTGGCTGCACACACACAATATCACAAGAAATATTTAAAACAGATATAAGTTTATAATTACTAAATACTTGAAACAAACTAATTAACTGACAAAGATGAGTCGAAAACCCTTAAAGAAGCCTTGACAACCTTGTAAAAAAACTGAATTATATTTCCATTATTTAAAGTTCCATTTGTAACAGAAAGAATAGAGCCATTACCATAGAAATACAAAAATGTTTCATCCTTTATACCTGGCCACTTGCTGGGATGTGTAGTCACCTGTAGAGGTTCATCACTGCTGAAACGACGACGACGTGGAGGCTGTCCAGATATTAAATGACTACTGGAATGCGCAATGTTGAGACGAGCCAATGACTCCAGAGCAGACGGAGGGAAACTAAGAGCAATGAAACATTTTGAGAATACATGATGATTTAATGTAAATATTTAATAGAGAAACTTTTTTAAGTAATATTTCACAAGATATGAATGAGTACACACGCGAGAAATCATATTATTCTATCACAGGTTTAATGAAGGTAATGAACAATTTTCATTTTTGCCTCAAAATTCTAAATTTTGTTTTATTCGTCACTTGATGTAAAAATATATAAATTTAAAATTGTTTGGAATTGTGGGAAACAAGAAACAGATTATACATCATTTTTGCTATTCATAATAGAACTCACTTGTCAGACGGTTGCTGCTTTACACTGAATGTATCTGAGTCACAAAGACTTTGATAAATACAGGCTGAAAGTGCCACAGCAAGGTCACGTAAAACAAATACTTCACTGTGGTACAGCATTCGAGATGGTGCAGGGGGGCCGCGCAGTTCCATGATGGTTGCCAGCATATCATGTGTTTGGGCCTGTAAGAGTCGCTCATATTACTATATTTTCTAACTAATGTGAAGGACTAATTGACAATATTTTAAATTACTTGTACAGTTGCAGTAAAAAGAAAAAAGAAAGAAAAAGAAGCAATTCGTCAATTGAATAAGTGTAATTATGTGTTTGAAATATGGTATTAATGGAAAAAATAAATAAATATTAAATTATTGTTCTCATCATTCTTATCGACGAATACCATGATGCCCTTTTCTTCGTTACCTTAATTTGTGATAAAAGTTTTATATTTTAGTTCTATCAGAAATTAACATACAAAATATAAATGTAAAACACATGATTACCATTGACAATCCAATCATTATAGGATGCCTCTACCTGAAGTCGTGGGGTTTCAGCAAGGAATGAGGCAAAGGACAGGAATGAGGAACTTGAGGATTCTGGTGGTTGTGATTCTGGAGCAGGACACTGTAACATTCACATACAGGTTGTTGAGAACCATGAAAAATGTAACTACTTATGAAAAAGTAATGCAACACAAATCTGAAATTAATGTTTTATTCACAAATTGTCAACAACAGATTAAGTTACTTCTGATTATTTTGGTTTAGTTGCAATAAATCATCCTAATTAGACCATCCTAAATTCAGTTGCGGTAAATTCTGTCTAAACCAGAACGTGTACAAGCTGGAAACCTACCTTAAACAGAAAATTTTTCCTGCTGATGAAATTGGCATTTTTAACATAGCATAAAAAAGAACCTGTCCACGTTGTAAACAGAATGGTTTTCCATGTCCTACAAAGAAAACGTTATATAACGGATTTCCTGTGAATTTAATGAAATTGGCAGACACTGGAGATATTCTAAATGAATACATCTGCAAATATGTTTTAATACTCTGTCCCTGTGACGCGAGATTTAGTCGTTGCAGCCTCACTGTGAAGGAGAGGAGTTTCAGTTGTCAGTGTATAATCCGACCTTAGGGTTACTTGACCCTAAAAGGCTCTCTCTAACCCCCCCCCCCCCTTGGGTCTATGAGCTTGGGAAGGTAGACGGGCATGTTTTCTATTCACACATCTCACTTTTTCTCATTGAAAACCATAACCCCTCCAGAGATGCACTACTCAAGGCAATGCGAGGGTGTCAGAGAGTCATATATTTCAATTTATTTGCAGTCTTTAGGCAGTTCATCAGCTGTTACGGTGTCATCCAATCAAAAGCTTGAATGTCACCATAGTGACATTTAAGTTCCAGATTGGATGACATCATAACAGCTGAGATCTGTCAAAAGACACTAAATAAATCGAAGTACAGTACTGTGGGCTGTGTCACATTGGGCATTGAGTCAGCAGTCCTACTGCAGCCACTACGCAGTGAGGTGGTAAGTATTTTTGAGTTTCAGATGAAAATATCAATATCACCAGTGTCATAAAATGGACAACCCTGCATAAAACGAAAACCTCTCTAAACCAAAATATTTTTTGTCCTGATCGATTCAGACAGATTTTACTGTATTTTGAAGAACTGTTTCACCCTTTTCTGCTCTTTTATCATACACAAACTTCTATGATTTTGGATGACTATTTTAATGGAACACTGCAGAATGACCAATGGACACAATGCTAAGAAGCATGATCAAACTCAATTTTTTCATGTTACTTCACATTGGAAATTTAAGAGTACATTGAGGCATTGACTCTTCACAATTGGAAATTAGTAATTTATCACATTATTTTGAGTTAAATTAAATTAATTAATTTTCCAAAAATTATACCAATTCCAAAAATTCTGCAAGGGGGGAAAGGGGGTAAGTTCTGGTAAGGTATCTGGTAATAATCCACGGTGAAGGTCTGGCGGTCATAAAAGTGCAGTGGCATTACACTGCTTTCTAAAAAAGATGATTCCAGTAGTATATATTGCAAACTCACAACTGAAATATTCAGTTTTGATATATAGATATATTAAAATGTAATGAAATCTGTAAGAAAAGTTTAGTAATAGGTAAAATATGTAATTATATAAAAAAAATATGTAAAACTAGTACTGCTACAGAATGGCACTGACTTCCTCACACTAGTTAGTTTTCTAATTTCTTTGGTATGGGCAAGCTTTAAGGTCTTGCTCCAATCTCTTGCCAGCTGTCATCAATCGCTGCCCAAAATACATTCTCTGAAATTGTCTCAATTTTTCAGTTTCCTAATGGTAAATTCAAAATATTTCTTTATGAATATTAAAAAAAATAAAACCTCGTCCTATAAGGAAATTTTGCATTGAAAAATCTAGAACCATTTTTAAGAAAAAATCGTTTAAGCTCTAATGTAAATGTAAAATTTAAAGCTCTTTTCCACAGGAATCTTTTGAGCTCTCAAAACACTTCAATGGAAGTATTTTCACTCACATATGCAATAAAATATACAAATTGCTGGAAAGATGCATATTAATGGAGAGAGAAAATTCAAAAAAGTTACATTCGTGTAGTTTTTGAAAAAAACAAAAAAATACAGTAAAACTAATTTTATGATGTTTTAAAGAGTGCAATTAGCAAAAGCCATATGAAAAGTTTGAAAAAAAAATTTGGAGCCTTTTTGAGAAAATGGCATGAGCGTTTCTAAAAATTAGAAATTTTGAGTTTGTTTGCACAAAAAACTTTTAATTTTTGGAGAAATTATATACAGCATTATTTAAAGGGCATGTACTCATAAATGCAATAATATGAACAAATTGTATCATAATGTAAATAATAAGAACATGAGAGGCTAGTCAAAAAAATTACATTCTTGTAATTTTTGAAAAAAGAAAAGAACAGAGCAAAATGGCATTTCTGTCGTCTAATAGAGTACATTTAGCACTATCTCTACCAAAACTAGAAATAATAGGTTTGGAGCTGTTTTTGAGTACATTTTGTGTCTAATTTTTTTAAAATGCACAAATTTCATATAATATTCCACAAAAGCTACTAAAAGTCCACAAAAAATGTACATGACCCTAAAGAAAGAACTAATTACAGAGAAATTTCATTGAAAAGAAAAATCTTTATCTTTAATTTTGTAGTTGTAGGAAGATGCCGAAAAAAATTCAAATTTTTGCAATTTTGGAAAATTCAGAGTTAACAGTGAAAATCAGACCTATGCCATTTTCATAAATTTTGGAAATGTCCCTATGGCATCACGTGAAGGACCCCAAATTTTAAAAAATGTTTTAAAGAATGAAAATTTTGGGTGATATACTACTCAGTCAACCCATTCCATTTTTGAACTATTGCTTTTTCTGAATTGACAGTTTTTATTGCAAACCTGAATAAGTTGGAAACTAGTACAAAACAATAAAATGTTGGACCCAAACGATTCCAGTTAAGACAGGTTTTACTGTATTAAAATATACTGGTTACACAGTAGCAAGGTCACATCATTGATGCATTTACTACATAGAACATATTTCTAATGTCATCACCACACCAAAGAGGTGACAGGATGGTGACAATTGAATGCTAATGCATTCGTTTTTTACTGTCATCTTCTATAAATAAAATGGCAGGGAAGTATTGTCATATAGAGTTGACTTATAGGAGCAAGAATCAAAAATGTAAACTTTTCTTCACAATGCACCTAATTGCAGGTTTTAAAATCATTTCTTACAAAAGTCTAGTACCTTTCACAACCTCATTAGCTCTGATTCACAAGTTTTGAAAACTGTCTACCCCATTCTCATGCACCACATGCAATAATTTTGCCAGTACCTGGAGGTGGCGGACGGGATCAGCAACAACTGTTTTGTGGCATGCTACTGAGGCCGAAAGCAGAGGCAGAGTGGTGGGGAAAGGCAGGGGAGACAGCAGCTGCTGCTGGCTTTTCTCCTGTTGCAGCTCCTGAAGGAGAAGCACCAGCTCCATACGTACAGCTGCCAGCCCACCCCCACTAGCTCCGTGCAGGGAACAGTAGCTCAGCAGTGTGCGCAAGAGGGCTTCATTCGCTAGAACATAACCAACACAGGTCAAAATGGTTTTCACCACAAAACTCCAAGTCATACTTCTGAATTGATCAAACAAATCTGTAGTTAAAATTTTTGGATTAGGGATAGTTTTTCTATGTCAATTGTGAAAAAGAACCTTTGTGTTCTTTACAGCCAAAGACATGATACATTAAATGACATTTAGGCATTTTTTGTTGTGAGTATTCGAGAATTAAAGGATTTGTGTTACATTGAAATTAATACAAGTTTTAGTTATAATTCAGAATTATGGTAAGTATTAGTTTCATACATTTTTTAAATGAATGTAACATAAAATTCATGTCTGCTTGGAAAAAAATAGCAAATGAAATTACTTTTGAATTCCGCATCAAAGTATTACAGGTCCAGTTCATTTTGATTTTGCTCATACCAAAACGAGGCATAATCTGTCAATAAAGTGTATTTGTTACGAGGATGTAAGATCACAATTAAGTCAATTCTTGAAAATAGTTTTCTTTGGAATTTCAATCAGCAGATTACATGCATAAAAGAGGACCATAGCCACTATCTCTGTTATAAAAGAAGTTATAACTGAACTTACCTTTCAACCATTTCTTTCGTCGAGACGCACGCTGTACCTTAGCTTCAAAGTCCATCTTCTCAGCCATCAAGATCTCATGGAGAGTGGGTTTCTCATTAAGCCTTTGCACTGGAGTGCCACAGTGCTCTGGTTCTGCAATTACACTTTCTTCTGGAAAATGAAAAAATCTCTTCTTACTTTTTTTTCTTTTCTTTTCTTTTTCTCATTTGATTCAGCAATTAGCAAAAGGAATTTAAAAAATACAAAATGGAACACAGTTTTTGAATTCGTGAAGAAGTTTGCTTTAAGAACATGGAAAATATGAATTACTGAAAGTCTAAAAAGTCAATAGTTTTAATATAATAGTTTTACACCCTATACTTTAATTTTTCTGTAAAATTTACATTTAAAAAAATAAATTGTTTTAATAATAATCTTGGGGGGGGGGGGGCAGGTCACATCAACTACTAAGTCATTAGCGACCACAATTGCTTGTAATGGTATGGTAACTGTGATACAGGATAAACACAATACACAAGGATGAACACAATACAACCATGCCCACGGCAGGACTCTAACCCGCGGACTTTTGGTCCGAGGTCGCTATTGCCTTACAGCACTACTGCCTTCACTATCTCGGTCATCCGGACCGGCAATTCCATATTTGTTGAATGTGAAGACTACCTTTCAGTTTTGTCCAACTAGACACTCTCATTACTTACATCGGGTCAATGTGGGTCAATGACCCCCCTCTCGATCATGCTTTTGTCCAGTTTCCCTGATCCATTGAGCAAATGCTGAGATGGCCCCTTGTTTTGCTTCTGGACGTAAATGAAGTTTCACTAAGCGCACATTTTGTTGAACTCTCCTTTTGCTAGTAATGGTAAGAGTAGAGGTAAGGGCGAGTTGCTAGTTTGTTAGCAATGCAGAAAAATCATACTTGCGATTTGTGTACCGATGCAAATAAGTTTTCTATAACTTGGAAACAAAAATGATTATTTTTCAAATATTGCTAATCTTGCAATTTCTAAAATTTATTTTTATTTATTTATGTTAAACTTTTACTCATCTTTCAACAATTTATAGTTAAAATGACAGGAAGGGATTCTGGAACTCAAGAAAACATATGCAGATAATCTTCTCCCCCTTACGTCACATACAGTTTTTACTGTTTTTTGACTCAATAAATCTCATCATCATCAATACAGCAACTTACCCTGGAACACTTTCCATCCTACTTCATCTGGGCCAACCTTCGCAGCACGAGTACCTACTTTAACTCCCAATATCACTAAGAGGGAACCCTTCAGCTAGAACTTACAAAAATGATCGAGGTAACCTGTGCTTGCACCTTTTTACTGGATTAGGAGGATCATTCCACAGTAACCACATACTTTTCAATCCATGTCACCCTATGGTACTGGCTAAGGTGTGGAGTTTATGAAAGGAACAAAGTATAGAAGTACATGAAGGACTGGAAACGCCTATCATGTCACAAACTCAATTGAAAACGTCCATGGCTTATACAAGATTTGATCTCACAGACCTGAAGACCACTTCGGTGTACCTGCCACAACCCCCACTACAACTGGCCCAGGGAGATTTGTTTCAATGCTTTCATTTATGTATAAGGGTGTGTGAGGATAGGGCAAGAAGAGGAAGGTAAGATTGCGACCAGTCTGTGGTCCAGTGTTTGTTAGGGTACTGCTTCAGTATTCACCCAGTGTTGATCAGAGAAACCACGGAAAACTACTGATCAGAGAGCCGGCTGCAGAAATTCCCCAGTGACTGAATGAGACCTAACCAGTGTTGAAAATTCTGCCACCATTGAACCTAGGAACTCCTACTGAGGCACTGCAATGACATCAATTGATGCCCTGAGCCCCCTCTTCTAGTTTTCATACTTTGGAAAAGTGGCTGTTTCATAAGAGTTCCTTACCTATGGCAGATGCTACACCAACACCATCAGGCTCTCCAGAACTGTAATTGCACAGGTGTCGCAATGCATCCACTTCCCTTTCCAACCAGACATAAAGTTGATAGCGTAGCTGACCACCATCCACCTCAAACCCAGTTGCCAGAGTGCTCAACTCCTCCATGAGAATCTTCAAGCACGCTACAAACTTCAATTGCTGAGCCATGATGTCTAGTTGTCCTGAGGAACCTGTTCCTGATTGACAATCATAGTTATTTTTATTATAATTTTGAGATTTTTATTATAATTTTGTTATTGAAGAAAGAGCACTAAATTAAAGACATGACTTCTTTGTATTTCTAATATAAGTGGAATACAACCTTGAAAAACGGAGGTTCTATTCTATTCTGATTTACACTTCTATAAGATCTAACTTAAGTACAGGATATGGAAAATCATTCAGTTAGTGACAAAATTTAAGAATAGTTCTAACTTAATTCAATGTGATACTACATTTCTCATGATGTAATGTGAGATGTTCATAACTCACTTCATACAAAATATTTTCAGTAAGTATGTAACTTACTCAAATGTATGTTTCAAGCCACTCATTGAAGTTGAAAATGAAAATAGAAGTACTATGTAACTGAAGAATGCTAATGACTGTGAGGAAGATACCAATTTGAAAGAATCTGATTCTTGTAGCATTGAAATTGATAGGAACCACCGTTGTAATGTAAGCCATTGACAATATATGAGAGATTTAAAGCCGAGCAAATGGGTGAATGTTAAGATAACAAAGAGTTTACAATATTTATTCGAATGTAAGGTAAGGTTTTGCCCTTAAATATCGCCATCAAAAAAGTACAGGATTATCTTGTATTTGCAGATTTGTGGGTTGGTTTTTTGCTTTTATCCTACCATTCCATTGTATACAAGAAAGCTAATGTAATAATACACTGAGAAGCCAATAAAAAGCAGTAACTGCAAAGCCACTTAATACTGCACATATCTATAATACCTAATTTTTCAAGGATGTACTCTTGGCACTCTCAGTGGATTCGTCAGGCAATTCAAACCAATAGAGTGAAATCCCATTTATACGTTTCACACTTACACATTTTTCACATCCATACGTGTGTGTGTGTGTGTGTTTTGACAAGTCCTGGATAAATTCCTATAAGTCCCATGCTAAATTATTTCAGATATGCATTTGACGTTTATACGTTTTACACACATACATTCATTGGTGAATCATAATGTTAAACAAAACAAGATAACAGACTTTTTTCATTAGTAATTTTTTTAACTACATATTCAATTCTTCTTTTTTTGGTAATAACTTTTCTAATAAAACGGTAGTGTAAACATATTGAGTTTCTATTTTGCTCTTAATATTCAATTATGGATTTTTCTCACATACATTTTCAGTCCCCTGAAAAACGTATACGTAAAGTTTTACTGTTTTTTTTAATGGATATGTAAAGAAAGAAACAAATGACAATGCACTGAAATACAACGTGAAAAGGAATACAAGTCATTGTCAAAATTTCATAACATGGTCCATGAGGACACCCAGGGAAAAAAAAATTACAAATGTTCGTTGCTCTCTCCCATATTGCCGGTGGAATGGAGTTATGTGGGGACAAATTCACAGTTGACAACTCAATCACACAAATTTAAAATTTATTGTAATTGATTTGATTGTTAAAGAAGCAGAGGACATAAACAAGAGCATGCTAAGAAAAAAATCTGGTGGCAGAAGGAAATATTCTTAAATGGCACTAAATGAAAGATAAAAAACACAAATGCAAGGTGCAAAATGTTTGGGCAGGGCCTAATCAGAGGACTGAGTGGGAGGAGGACCAGAATGAAAGAAAAAGCAAAGAAAAAGAACAGAGCAGGAAAAGTAAAGAAAAAACACATGATACATGAAAACAATAGGGACTAGAACTGGAAAAAAAAATATTTTTTTTAATCGAAAAATCTGATATTTTTCATTTAAACCAATATTTTTTATTAAAATAAGATTTTTTAAAAAATTGTATTAGATGTTTTTACTTTAAACCAAAATCATCAAGTGAATTATTTATCCTTAATTACTCTAAAAGCAGAAAAAAGTATTGAAACATTAGTTTGTAAATTTATCATTAAACTGTTGGAATTTTATTTAAAAAAATAAAGAAGCTATATCTTTGAGGAGTCTGGTGCAATACTACCTCACCCTCAAAATCTTTAAATGTGATTTAATTCTAATTTTGTGCTCTTGAAATACTTCTCTTGTGTTCACTTTACTGAATAAGCTTGTGGCACCATCTATTAGCGTGATTTTGAAAAAGACCAGTGAGAAGTATAGTTCCCTCTTAAAATGGAATTTTATCGATGTACATATAAAGAAAAAGGTTAATATTATTAAAACTAGTAAGATAAACTACTGTTTTCATTAGTTTTAACAATATTAATTTTGTTCTATAAATGAGTATTAACAAAATTCCAGTTTTATTGATACAAGGTACATCTTTTAAGATGTTTTATTGGTACATCTTTAAGATGTACTTTAAGTGGCTTTAGCTAACATTTTAACACATCCAGAATTATAGACCTCATTGAAGATTTAAAAATGTTTTTCTTGAAACTCCTTTGGTGGGTGTTGGGGTTGTATTATTGCTAAACTAGTTTTAAAGTACAGACAATTAAATGATGGATTAAATCTAAGCAACCATCTAAGTCTATTCATATATAACTCTCCTATAAATTGTTTATTGTTCTTCGTTTCATAAGTACGTTCATTTTAATATATATTATATTGAATTTTATTTTCTCAAAATAGTTTAATTACAATTAATTGATCATACCAGCCTTAATAGAGATAAAAATGACAAAAATAATGATTTTTATAATCAAGAAAAGAGGGTTGCTTAAGCAAGATTTTCAATTCTTATGAACAAGAGAATTTGGTATTTTATATTAACAAAATAATATAAATTAGTTGAAAACGAACAAAATTAACAGAAGGGAGTCATCTTATATTCAATCATTCGATAGTTGGGCAAATAAGATATTCCAAGGATTTTACTTAAATTTTCACAAACACCTTCACCAAAAAAAGAAGATTAATTAAGAAACTTTGAATATATAAAAAATGTTATTATCAATTCAAGAGAGAGAGAAGAGAGAGAGGAGAGAGAGAGGAGAGAGAGAGAGAGAGGAGAGGGAGAGAGAGGCGGGAGGAGAGAGAGAGGGGAGAGAGGAGAGAGAGAGGCGGGAGGAGAAAGAGAGAGAGGGGAGAGGGGGGAGAGG